ATGCTCACTTGCTCTTCTGAGTTTCACTCCGTTATCACGTGAACAATTCACTAGGACTTTTACAAAGATAGGATATATCAACTTGTAGACAAAGACATGATTGTGTCTGTGCATATGCACAAAGTAGACTAAGAGGTCAAGTCATGTATCGCTTTCAAAAATCGCATCCAGTATGTTCACGTGTTCACTTTTTAAGCCTATAATAAAGATATTTCTTCACAGCAAACTCCTTTGCAGCTCGAACTTAAGTGTAATACGTGAAGAAACTAAAAGTGAAAAAGAAAATAAGTGAACAGGGAGGCGTTTTGGCATTGTATTGAGATTGGGCATTAACTTTAATGAGTCATGGGTTGAGCTGTCATTTTGTGAAGGGCTCTTTGAAAAGTTCTCTTTGAATTAAGAAGTCATGCGATGTTACCTGAGAACCACACAATGAAAAACATTTGTATAGTATTTCGATAACATTGTTTGTCAAAATTGTAGTTTCGTTCGCTAATGCCGCTCTCCAGTTCAGTAGTGCGTGCACTGCAAACAAACTGGGGGTGGGCCGGTCAATTCAACATCTGTGTTATGAGCAAATTACAGCTTGATTTGTAACGATAATTTTTTTAACAGGATTCATGCTTTTACTTTCATAGTATTGGGAGGCTGATTTTGATATTAGATCTAAAATGTTTTAAAATATCAGTAGATAAAAATCTCACAAAAACAAGCCTATAGATGCTTCATTCAGTGGCCTGGATACCGAGGGAGCGAATGCCTGCTTGAGGAAATAACAATTTATCTTCAGAGATTTTGCGGATTTCTGCAGAAGGTCAAGAAACCGTTGCCAAGTGACAAGTAATCAATGCAACAAACAGGAATCAGAAGTCATGAAACTACTACAAATGTTTCCGGCTTTAAGGAGAGAATAGAGAGATAGAGTTTAGCAGAAGTTGTGAGGATTGAAGTAATAAACTGTGTGGCTTTTGTGGGTTGTTCATCCATCGACGTCAATCGGTCGGGTATTGCAGTCTAGAGCTTCTTAAAGAGTAAATCCTTGGTGACTGCAGTCTGAAGTACCATGAATGTTCTATTTTCAGCGTCAGTAAATGTATTAACTTGCTACAAGTACGAAATGATCGCGTCACAAGCAAGCTGTACACGAAACCGTTACCCCATACAAAAGCCACTCGTGATTCAGCACTAAATGTGTCTGTAAAACTAAGGTGAAAATCAAACACAAACCTGATCGTGAAGAGTTTAAAGAAAATGAAGCGGACGATGGTATGCAAGAGTCCTTCCCGCGATTCTTGACTGTGAAGAATTTCAACTTGACTGAAAGGGAATCCTTAACTGTATCACCGCTGTGACCTGTGTCATTTTAAATAAGAAGGGGAAATCCAATCACATCTTTGATTTTGTGGATTTAAATACGATACTTGACAAGGCAAGTGACTGTCACGGAATTTGATGAGAAATTGCGCAATCGCTGTAAGTACGAAAGGAGCCTTTTTGCGATTCTTCCCCCAAGAGATGGGGGCAGGGCTAAGCGTTCCGCCATAATTTGCAGCATCGACTTTTAAGCCTTCAGCAGCAGCTTCAAGCTTTCTGGTTTAAAATAGGCTAGGGTTTGGCTTGATACTGGTTGTTATTTTACAAGACGAAACGTTTTCAATGCGTGTACTGGAACTTTCTCATTTTGAGTCAGTTCCAAAACGAGGTATAGAGTTACACGAGCTTTATGCTTTTCTCTAATGTCAGCGCATATCAAAGCAGTTACGGGAGACACAATACTTGAACAGGGCGTCGAATTTTCGATCAGTTCAGCATCAGAGAAACGAAAATCCCCTAATTTGGTCTAAAATGACTAAAATAGGGTAAAAGTTGCATGAATCCAACCAAATTCTTTGTGAGTCCCACCGCCCTATTTTGCTCCACTTTACATTTAATTTTCCGGCGTCATATTCGTTATCCGCGTTCCAGAGGTCATTTTTTCTTATCTTATTTTCGTGAACCGTAAGCACAGTTTATTTCATCCTAGATATTTCGAGAACGGACCTCTGGAGCCAGGGTACATTGTCATTATCGTGGCTTTTATCTCAAAGGTAGTTTATATCTGCTTCTCAGACATAATTGGTGATTTCCGCTCATGAGAAAAATATAAGCTTCAGAAGTAGACTAAGAGGTCAAGCCATGTATCGTTCACATAAATACTGAACATCCCTCTAATACGTCAAAATTTCACCAGCAAGTTTCTTTGGGTTGAAGTAAAGTTTTAAGACGCGAAGGACGGAGATAAACGTGAATATGAAAATAAGTGAAGTGAAGGGGTGAACTCTCATTTTTCCATTGCACTGAGATTTGGCAGAACTTTAATGAGTGGGTGACGATGTCATTCACGCGATACTTGCCCTATGATCAACACTAAAAAGTTGCCTTATTTCGCTGACATTGTTTGTCAAACAGGCTATCATTTTAGTTCAGTCATTCCTTTTAGACGTTTCACTTGTTGTGCTGCACATGCTTTCACTGCAGTTTGTACCACTAAGATGCAGCATTTTAAATAGCGTTCATGCTTCAGATTCTTTCACGTTCATGCTCCTCAGAAAAAGTCGACATTGTAACAGTTCCATCGGCAAAATATTTCACCTTTAAAGTCTTAACCGAGAAAAGGGAACTGAATATTTGCTCAAAAAACGTACGTTGATGGCCAAACCGAAATGCAATGGGACATCAAGAACGAATAGAAATAATTATTTGGTACCCAAATTCTCTCTCCTCAATTCGGACAGTCTGACAGACAATAATTAATAATGAAGCTCTCCCTGAACCATCTCAATTCAGTTATGGCTAGTAAACAGAATAGTTTTAGAATTGTGAGAGGTTAAATTCATTCTAGAAAATACAAGGCATACGTTATCTTACCATATATGGGGGAACTAATGTTTCAGTCGAACTCCAAACAATTTACAAGGTTGGAATGTGCCTTAAACACGAAAATGATGTTCTTTACAAAACCAACACACGGTATAGTTAAATCACTGAGCCATAAAATCCAATATCGTAAAATCTTAAACAAACCTTAGTTCCAGAGCCCGGGATAAGAGACGAGAGGCAGTGTTGTATCGAAGGGATGCAGTTTAGTGAGTGGTTCAGAGGGCGTCTTCAGTTATTGACTTGATGAGGTGAATCACGTGATATTTGTGACAGAAACAACAGATCATTGTTAATAGCTAATATAACAAAACCTCGTTGTTCTGAGGAAAGTAAATCGTCCAAAGTTCAAGAGTAGCTAACGTGGCAGGCGTAAATATTAAAGGGGTATGGTAGGGGAGGAATGCGACGGAGATGCTCGTCAGGACTAAATTCAACTCCAAAAGAAAACCAAGCTGGGCGAAGCACAGGCTTTATTTGAACCATTAAGTCGACTGAAAACAGACAGCTAAGAGCTATGACGCTATAAGAGCTATATTCTCTGTGTTTAAGATGCATTCAACAGAGTTTGACAGCGAGCTACAGCGGGTGCTTGGTTTGTTTTATAGAGATAATTTCTTTGGCAGAACCCCAATGAGAGATACCTTTGTATGTATGGCTAAAAATCGTGGCTCTCAGCAGGAGTTGATCGTGCTTTCAGTCCTGCACACCACAAGTGAGGCCGAGATCTGCAATTTTTCACCCCTATAAAAGCGAGACGAAGAGTATCCCGGTCTTTTTCTTGGGGAGTCCCCCCCACCCTGTCAACATCTGCCTCACGGGAAGTCAAGTTTTTCTCGGAAGAACAGGAACTTTCTGAGCTCCCAACTGATGGGAATCGACCCATGACCTTGATCCGGATTACCGGTAAGGGTTCTCTGGATTCCTGTTTCTAGAACAAAACAGAACAGAACTTGTTTATAATCCACAGAGCGCCTGACAGCACATATGGTAAAATCCTCAAATTATAACCTGCAAAGCAGGGGCGGGATTTTAAGGGCTGAGGGAGAAATTCCGTGGAAGCGCGCGTAACCGGCGCCTGGAAAGAAACGGGTCTCAATTAAGGTGAATTGATATCATTTTATAAGATTTCCTTTGACGCAAAGCATGCTACCTTATAGTGATACATAAACGTAGTAAAAGTTCATTAAAAAGTAAAACTGGAGCAAAAGTTCTTGTTTTATCTGAAGTTGTTTTCCTGCGTTTCGGGCCTGGCTCTTCATCAGTGGCATTGCAAGTACGTTAGAACCGGTGCAAGGTTTTTATGTACGCTTATGAAGTGAAACTAAAAAACTTTTTTGTGCGCGCGGGCTCTGCGCGCAATCTAGAGGAAATGGAAGGCGCATCACCAGGCGCACCCGTTGCGCCTTTTCCCCGCAAAGCAAGAGCGTCGTTTATGGAGTGGCCAGCCGTGTAAAATACACAGCGGCAGGAAAACCAGGCAAGTTGTTCTCGATGCTTTGAAGGTGCTCGCCAAAACGTTGTCTTTGTCTGTCGGAGATTATTCGGAAATAAAACTTTCAACAGGCAAACAACTCCTATAATGAACATCCTGTAAGAACAGATTTCAATGATTTTTTTAAAATCAATTAGAGTAAGGCTGAAATTCTTAAACAAATTTTATTTAGATAAATTGGAAAAAACTTTGCACGGGCTACGTGATTAAACGTGTTGTTATAAGGAGACATCTACAGACGTATAGTCTTGACCTTAAAAGAAAGCACACTTATATACATTAGGAAATAAGCACGTCATTCTTTGTTCAATTATAGGATTGCTTTCAAAGCGTTGTTTTCCATCTAATTACTTGCCAATATTGTTATTGTAGAATAATTAAAGTACTCGCTAAGTGAATGAAAACAACGTACAAATTTGTCAGGTTGCTAAGGCGGGGAACTGATTGACTAGCGGGAAAACTGGCAGTTAGACGAAATCGTGGAAAAGTGCACATGAGGGAAACTAGCCTTGACCAACCAATCAGAACAAAGCGCGGCAAGGCTTTGCTTCTGATTGGCTAATGGAGGCTATGAACTTTTTCACTGTTTCTACACGAAGAAACTACTAAACAATTTCGAAAGGTTCACTTCAGAGTAACCATTAGCAGTTAGGACTTTGGTAATCACTGAGTGCACAGCTTTGTAAAATGACTTCGTAGTCTGTGTTACGCCCACAGCTAAAAAAAAGAACAGACGAAAAGAATTTAAACAGATTGTTTAAAGGTCAAATCAAATAAATGAGTAAATAATAATAATAATAATAATAATGATAATAATAATAATAATAATAATAATAATAATAATAATAATAATAAAGATTTTTTTTTATTCTATGGTGTGGACAAAAGTTGCACTTTCTACAACTTCCTTGGAAACATTTAATATTTGTTTTGCCAGCGGAAGTACAAGTTCCTTGCCTCGTACCCAGGTGCGTTCTGGCGGATTGGAGAGCGACTGGATCATAGTGTCATGGGAAAGGCGTTCACCCTTCCCAGCGCCCTTTGCTTCAACGCTAAACGTTCCATGGTTCATTGTGCGATACTCTCGCTTGAAGTCGCGTGTTCCGTTTTCCAAACACACTTGAGACGCCTAGGAATGAGGCAGACAAGTTCCCACGTCCAACGCAAACACAGGCACAGAGATACAAAAGTGCACGTGATCATTCTGTAACCCAACATGACAGTTGAGCCCTTTCCACCTTGCAATTGTGCTTGCGTTTGAGTTGTCCCCGTTCACACGCGTAAAAAGCGAACGTAAGGAGAAACGTAAACGTTGACGCAAGAAATGGGCGCTCGGCTTTACGTCAACCCTTGAAGGTTAAGTTGTCCTTCTACCTGCCCAAAGCAAGAACAAACTATTTTAAGAATAGTTTTGCTTTTGCGGCTGTTGAGCTTTGGGGTTCCCTCCCTTCTTGGTCAAAAAAAGAGACTTTTCTGCAAAATGCAAGGCGAAGATCAGGTCGTACATACTATCTCAGTCAACCATTATAAATTCTCTCCTTTCTTAGTTTATATAGTGTGCGATCTCTTCTTAGCCGCTTTAGTTTTAGATATTAACATATTTTTATGTAATATGATTTCTTAAGCACCGCTTTTGAGAAGAACAGATACTTTATCGTAAAGTTTTTTGATGAAACTACCGTGGGTAAATAACGTTTTTACTCACACTCGGCACTTACTCAAAATACTGACCTGTTTTTGCATTTTTCACGGCGTGATCGAAGTCAAACAAGCGGGAGAAATACAATAGCTGAGTGTACAGCGCTGTGTCGGAGTACTGAAAACAAAACAAATTGTCAACCACTGAAGGAGCTGGACCACGAAATGTTAAATTGTTGGGGCCACGCACGCAGATTACACATGGTCTTCAAAGTCTTATGGGTTGTATCCTTCCCACGATGTACTGCAGGTCCTAACATTGATGGGAGTTGTTGCATCCGTGTGCAATCCACTGCCAACACGGAGGTTAAAAACTCCAAACATTGTTGACCCCGTCCGTTTGAACATAGTTTTAGCTGATAATACCGTCAGAGTCAAAGAAACATTTTGCACGGTCATAGTTGTCTTTGTTTTAGTTTTATACTCACCACTGCATCCAAGTGGGCCCTGAAGCATTGTGGGCACATAGGGGCGCCTCGTTGACGTATCAGGGGTACTTGACGTGTGCTGTAACCACAGGACGGGTCCTCACATTTCTGCCAACCCTGTGCGATTAGTTATAATGTGGGTTAGTTTTGATTCCTAAGTCATCAAAGCCGGATAAAAATCAACAACAAAATAACAAGGAATTTTTAAACAAAGAGACTTTTCACAGCCATCTTCGTATTGTTACTTAAGAGAACGCACAAACTTGTTTAGGCAAGGTTAAGAAACAATTCTTGTACAATTTAAGGTCAAGGGTCAAAATTGGGAAAACAAAACATACGGCTGAAAACGACTTTTACTAACTGATGGAAATATCCTTAACATTGGCATCATTATCAAACCCCTCTCGGGTACGACACTTGCTGATGGTCGCATTCTTACCACTCGAACAAAGGTCGCATTTGAAGATCTATTATCCATTTAAGCAAGAAGTGCATATAAATAGGTAGAGGTATAAAAACCCTCCGTAGCTTACGTCGGTAGCTCATATTTACCCCCTCTCTTTCCCCATCAGTGTTCCGTTTTAACGGTTTTTAAAGCTACTTAAAGCTACAAGGAAAGGAAAGAAGTTGAATGAAGGATTTGGGGTCACATTTGGGAATCGAACTCGGACCCTCCTGCACAGAGGGCCGTGCACTAACCGACTAAGTGCTAATCCTTGATCCTTGGTGTATAGCCCACAAAAAAGCCGTACGAGTTGCTTTGTTGTCTTTATTACAGTGGAACTTCGATTTAATGAACCTCTATATAACAAAATCCTCGGTATAAAGAACGATTTTCTTCAACCCGGCCAAAATTACAGTAAAATGTATGGAACAGAAACTCGATTTAACGAAATCATCGTTACAACGAACACAATCCAGAAACGCAAACGTAAAATATACCTCGATATAACGAATAAATGTCAGCATGTGACCGAAAGATAACTAAAGATGAATGCGAAAGGATAAAACTTGTGTCGAGGTGATATCGAGGTTTTCGACATAACGAACCCTCGATATAACGAAAAAATTTTCCCAGTCCCTTGGCACTTCGTTAAATCGAGGTTCCACAGTATAACAATTGCAGTTGCAAAAAGTGAACACTTCACGAATTTGCTTCAGTTACCACGTAGTATTCCTTGATGTGTCTGCGCATGGCAATATTCAACTGGTTGGAAACTGCGCCCGCGCTGTACTGATTGTTACATCCGGGACACGTATCGTTGACTGACAGTGCGTTCGACTACAAAAGAAAATGGTGCGAAGTATTTATTTTAGACCTAAAACTTTATACGTTCAATTTTCGGTCCTTATCTTACCAAACGAATTTTAAAAAGTTTAAACTTTAAAGAGCTTTAAGTTTCCATAAATTCTGTAACTACGAGTGTATCTCCACAAATGTTATAAACTCAGGGTTGTCATTAAGAGCCGGGGGCCGGGGATTTTCCCCGGCTACTAAGAGAGTGGCCCCCGGCTACTTTTATTGGAAAATAGAAGAAAAATAGAACCAAAAGAAATCTCTAGCCGTTTGATTCCCCGCCTACTTGTTGTGTTTACCCGGCTACTTGAAATCTTAGTGACAACCCTGTAAACTTGTCGTTTTTCAACTATAGCAACCTTGTACTGTGCTTTGTTTGGTTGCTTCAATTAAAATAACAATTAAAAATGTAACTTGTTTAATCTGTTTTTGCACTGTTATGTACTTTTTCCCTACTGGTAATCCTTACCAAAGCATAAACTACATCTACCTCTGCTAAAGGCTTGGGATCGACAATGCTGGTTTTCGAAAATGGAAAATTGCGGATTTGACTTTAATCTACAGATCCCTGTTCAGCTATAACTCATGCATTGAATGTGCTTAACTTTATACTCCTGAATAGTGTAAAATATAAGCTCTATGACTGAAGAAAATAATATCATTTGATGTTAAACTGTAAATGAACATTAACTGTTAAAAGTGTACTTACGGCGCCTTTAAAGAGGAGTTCGAGGGTCGTCTCTTGACCACAGCTGGAGCGTTTACACTTGACTATAAATCGCTCACAATCCTTGAGAAACAAGTAAGGTACAGAGTAGGGTTAGGGTTTCTATTTGTGTTTTTACCTATTCACCATTTTCACAAAGACCATGATGCACCTTGTTTATCCCCCGCCCTCAAAATTTTGTGTTCCGGTCCTGTGGATTTTAGAGCATGCCGATTGTCATAGACACAGTCCACTTTACGTTAGAATGAAACGTCTCAGTGTTATTTAACCTCCATTTCCAGAACATTTCTTTCACCTTAATTCCCAGATTGAGTAATGGAGACGGAGGCGGTTCTAACTATTGAATTAGTGGATAAAATCCTATGGTGTTACCATTCAAATGAAACCTCTTCAGCAGTCCTTTCACACGGTACTGTAAAATTAGTATGTAGTTCCAACTTCTAACTTTCTTTCATTTATTTTATTGTATTTTATTATTTTTTTAGGATAATGATTACTTTAATTAAATATTTATTTTCTTCTATCTCGGAGATATTAGCTTAAAGAGCTACACTGTAAATCTCAGGATAAATAAAAGTGATGATGTATGATACTGATGACGATTTGAATCTGTAGACAAAATCCTATGGTGTTACTATTCAAATGAAATCTCTTCAGTATTCTCATATGCTGCTATCTGGTTTTCATCATTTAACAAAATTAAATTGGGAAATTTTGTTGAATTTTAACGTTCATCACCTCTGGGAGGGAAAGTGTTCACAGTTATACCGACCTTAAACCTTTCCCCGTCTGTCATCTGAGCCTGGCCACCAAGCAACGCGTCATTTTCATCATCATGAAGGGCAGAGCTGCCACGATAACCAGAAGGATCCAGGCCTACGCGGCGAATGAAAAATTGGTGATAAACTTTTTAAAAATTCAGTTTCACGGGAATCTCAATGAACAGTAAAAACCGGTTAATTCGACTACGGTCACGGAAATCTCGTCGTCTTTACAGGGTTGTCGTATAACGATGTTGATCGTTGAAAAGAAAAACCACCAACAACAAAATTTAGTGCAGCCGTTTGAATGGTAAGAAATACAGAAAATAACGACAAACGAACCGTCGCGCGGAACACAATTTGACATTGCTCTTGGAAATCACGCATTGTGCGCTCAACCAACAGATTTGAAGGTTGCGCTGACTTCCAAAATTAACTGTAGGCTCTGAACCAATAAGATGATAGATAGCAAGTAGAGAACTTAAGAAAAACTGCTTCCGGTGTAGGAGTAGAGGCCGATTATCCTTGCCAGAAGCCACAAATACGGATAGACCGCCTTTGAGTTTTTACCCTAAAGAAAGAGCTAGCCGAGACTTTTAGGGAGAGTAAAACTGTGATATCAGGTCATTTCGTTGTTGCAATATACAAGAAAACACTAAAGGAGTTAATACTTTAAACAGACTTAATCGGTAGACACATTTTGTTTAGATGCATTGCAAGCAGTTTTCTAGCCGCGGAGTTAAATCGGTAATTTACTCACCTAAACACTGGGCAATATGAGCTGCATCGGTGCCGTCGATGGGATCGCACAAACGAGCTACAACTGGGTGAACCTGATTAGCGAGATAGTATTTCACATCTAGGATGTAAATGCGTCAAGGAGTATAAAACAACCGACTTGCATTGGTAACTCGATTTGAATTGTTAATTAATACCCTGGGAATTATGCATATAAGACTTCAAAAAAGAAGCTACCACTGTTTTAATCCACCACTCTTCTCGAGATCGCGGAAGGTAAGAGACTGTTCGTCCACCCTCCCATCCAACGAAAAAGTCGGTGATCCTGCCCGAGTTGCTTTCGCCCTGTTTTAGGCTTATTCCCACACTTTATTATCATGTCATAAATAACAATAGAATATCCAGGGTAGAACCGACCTTCGTCTTTAAGCACCCATCGTAGCCTGAGAAAACAGCAAACATTTCGTGACGCCACCAATGACGTCTGAGGGACGAACGCAGAGATTTCATGCCAAGGACGCGTTGCTAAGCAGATCTGGGTACTGCTTCTGATTGGTTGGAAATTTACTTCATCCAATCAGAAGCTAGATCTGGGTAGTGACACGTCATCAGTATAGAATTTCTGCGCGCGTTTCTTCTGACGTCATTTCGCGCGAAAAACAGTGGTGTCGTCGCGAAAAGTGTCTTTTTTTGGTTTTGTTCTTAATAACGGTAATATATTTAAAGGATACCGATCTTGAGTGTTTCAGATTTGCAGAACTCGTCCGGATGATAAGCTCGCTGACTTGCAGCTAAGGTGGAACCGTCCTAAAGGAAACAGTTTGGAAAAAAATTATTTGACTAAGCGACTGGTACAATTCCAGGGTTTCCTTCTTTGTTTAATGTTGAGCGATATCCTATGAGACCTTTGCAGGTAGCCATTCACGTGGTACAAAACCGCCATGCCGGAGAGCAAAAAGACAAACAATCTTGTCCCAATGAGTCTCTTGTTATCCCGCGAGGTGTCCCGCGAGGCGGTTTTCTACCACGTGAATGAAGAGCCTATTCACCATTTGCACATCTTGTTTGCCCCTCCACCCCAACAATTTGCATAACGTTTGTTTTCAATTTCTCCTGGGTATTACAGTCGCCCCAAGAGAATTGAAGACAATGCTTATGCAAATTATTTTATTTTTTTTTTGGGGGGGGGGGGCAAACGAGGTGTATTATGGGAGATGTAAAAATGGAACTCAGAGAACTCTGCGTTAATTAAGGGAGCTGGGGTGGAGAACTTGTCTGTGACGTCATCTCAGGAGAATTCATTTTCGTTAGTGTGATTTTGGAGCTTCTCGGGCCCAAGGAACCTGCCTTATGACGCCTTTTCGCTCAAATGACGACAAATTTCGTTAGGTTGGTTTTCAAAAATTCGGCTAGATATCCTAAAAAGTTTTTATTTTCTTTTTTAATGTTGTACGTCATTTCCGCCTCTCCCTTTTAGACAATTTTTATTGCGACATTCTCCATCTATATAATATTGTAATTCCTATTATAATTCAGTAACATCTGTAAACTTTAAGAAGGCTGGTATGGCCAGCGGAAATATTGTTATCAAAAGGCAATACACGTTGCTATGAAAGTGAAGAATGATCATCGCAGTAAATTTTCCAATTTAAGCAATTGGAAAGAAGAAGCCTGAAAAAAAAAAATTAGGGCTTCAACGGGATTCGAACCCGTGACCTCCGCGTTACCGGTGCGTTGCTCTACCAACTGAGCTATGAAGCCACACTGTGGGAGCGAGGTCAATTTATTGCGTTCATATCTCCCGTGAGGAGTGAAATGATGTGAACTTTGCAGTAGTATATGGACTTCTCGTTTTTTTGTTCGAATTCCCGAAAGCCAGCAAAATAAGCACAGACTTTGTACTTACGTCGCAAATGACGTATGGGATAGTGTCACCAGGGTTCACTTTTCTTCCCTTGCTGAGCATGCGCAAAGCAACGTTAACATGAGCCAGTGATTTCTTGTCCGGGTAGTCATGTGGAGATTTTGTCAATTGCTGCAATTAAATGATAAGTAACATGTCAGAAACGCATATAGTATGTCCAGGAAACAAGCCCTTCTGCGAAAATTAAAGAGTTAAATCTGAAAAAAAAGTACTCTACAAAATACCGACCTTTGGGCTACAACTGCATTTTTTCTCATTTTCTCGGTTATTGGTCTAGGGTGGGGTGGGAGGGGGGTGGGTGAATGACGCGATATACATCCAGCGCTACCGCCCTACACTATACCATCACAGTCACGTGTTGTAGGGCCCAGGTCTAGCACCTCGATCTAGGCATAGTTAAGAGAGCTGTAGTTGTAGTTTTTTAGTTATTATTCCCAAAGCCGTAAAATATACAAAACGATTATAAGTCATAGTCAAAGGTTTTTTGTTTATTTTTCAAGTTTATGACTTAGTCAAAGGATATCAAACCTTATTAATGACGAACTTTTGAATGTCGACCTTTCCCTCCGCAACGTTTTCTCCAACTGACGAATGAAAAGAACAATCAAAACAATAAAACACATGAAAAATCACAGGAAAGAAAGTCAGAAAAAAAGAAGGAAAACAGGTTTTAAGCTTAATGAAGACAGGGACATCTATTTGATAATATTTTCTCTTCCCCTGCCTGGGAAACATCAAACTTATAAAACAGAACAGCGTAGTTATTAAACTCATAACAGCTGGAACGTAACGACCCGGAACATATTTTTCCACATTTTGTACATGAGGCCGTTACCTGGCGCAAACTTTCCCGCGCTTGCCAACGGATGCACGTTTTTCGCGCCTTTTCTAGCCTGCGTGGGAGGCGTTAATTGGGGAAGGGGAAGAGGGAACTCGGGCGCGCGAGGAGGGGGAAATAGTGAGCGCCTGCAATGACGCTTTAAGCTCATGTTCCCTATTTACCCTCCTGGCGCGCCCCTCGCGCCCTCGCGCGCCCGAATTCACGTCTTCCCTTCCCCTATAAGCGCCTGCCACGCAGGAGCGTACCTTTTCCCGCGAGGTGAGCCAAACGTTATGGTCTATAAGAGGTCTATTCGAAGAGGACAGACGGCAAATTGTTGTTACATACATACATACATAGTTTATTTGGTAACGCAGGTTACAGAATACGCAAGACTGAAGTCCTGATGTGGACCTGCCTATCTACTTGTTAAAAAAAAACTAAAGTATGTACATGTGAATAAATAGAAAATCAACAGAAGTTAAATAATAAATAATAATAACAATACAAATATAAATAAGATTAATAAAGAAATTCCTCATCCCTATTTCTTATCATGGAAGATTCCTTATTATAGCTTATAGAATTAATTAAGTCCTTGCTAGATCTAAGTCTTTTTAAAAACATTCTAAGCTAGAAGACTTTTTGATCGAATCAGGAAGTGAGTTCCAAGCAATGGCAGCTCTATGCTTAAAAGTCAGCCTGCCAATTTCTGTTTTGGGACTTGGAAATTCAATATTCATTGATTTCCTCAGGCAGTGAGATGATTGTTTTAACATTACTAGATCATTTAAAACATTGGTATTGCATCTATAGTAGGATTTATACGCTTCTACTAACAGTCTCTTAGTGTGGTAAAATGATAAATTGTTCCAGCCTTTCAATTTATTTAATTGATCAGCATTCGAATTCCTTGAAAGTTTAAAAATAAGTTTAGAAGCTCGTATATGAGCACGCTCAAGATCATCCATTAGTGCAGGTGAGCAGGAACCCCATACTAGTATTCCATATAAGACACTTGGAAGTACAGTCCTAAAATAAATGGTCTGTAGAATGGATGATGGCAAGAATTTAATTCTTCTGAGCACTGCTATTTTCTTATTAAAAGATTTTAACAGACTTTTGGTGTGTTCTTGCCAAGAAAGATTACTGTCTATAGTTACTCCTAGACATTTACATGATGATTTTAATTCAATAAATTTTTCACCATACTTTAAAGGCAACAATGGACCAATGAATCTTTGTTTAGATAATAATAAGACTTCTGACTTAGTTTCATGAGCAATCAATCTGTTAGCACCACACCAACTAAGAACTTGATCTAGTATAACTTGCATGGCCTTAATTATAGTATCAATATTATCACTTATGGTAAATATGGTAGTATCATCAGCAAACATATAAAGTTCTCCCGAGGTTACAGATTCAGGAAAATCATTGACATAAAGGGAGAACAGTTTGGGTCCTAAGATTGACCCTTGTGGTACTCCAAACTTGATAAAGCTAGTGTCTGATTTCACTTCATTAACTTGAACAAATTGGTTACGATTTAACAGGTAGCTTCCCATCCAAGATAGTAAATTTCCTGATATACCAACAGCTTTCAACTTTTGTAATAGGATGGTATGGTTCACCGAGTCAAAGGCCTTCCTGAAGTCAATAAACAGAACACCAACTTTAAGATTATTATCTAGGGCCCACTTCCAAGTGTCAGTAAGATGAAGGAGGAGACCCTCTGTAGAATGATTCTTGCGAAAGCCCCATTGATTGTCACTAAGCAGGTTCTGAGTTTCAATGTGATTGTCTATGCTGTTGCTTATTATGTCTTCAAGAATCTTTCCTGGGATACTTAAGAGAGATATGGGCCTGAAGTTGCTCATATCAGTGGGTGCTCCCCTTTTAAATACTGGCTTAACACGTGAGAGTTTCCAGTTTGTTGGAAAAACTGCATCATCTATACTTTTCTTGAAAACTGGCAGCAGGCTATGGATAGAAGATTCCCCAAGGAGTTTAAGGTCCTTGGGTGAGACCAGGTCCGGTCCAGTAGCTTTATTCGGGTTTGATGATTTTTCAATTTTCTTCTTCACTAGCTCCCAATTTAACTCTATGTCGCATCTTGTAGGAGTGACTCTGGTTACATAAGAAGTTAAGGTGTTTGGATCAAGAGGTTCTAAATTCTTTGTAAGTTCTTCACTGATATTAACAAAGAACTCATTAAAGTAAGAAGCTTTTTCTAGATCACTGGTTAATACATCTTTACTGTCAGTTATTATGGGACCAATAGTACTATCCTTACTTTTCCTTAGAACCTTGTTGGTTAGTTTCCAAAATTGCTTAGGATCTTGAGAATTCATAAATTCCTGTTTCCAATAAGCAGCTTCCGATTGTTTTAACAATTTTTTTACTTCATTTCTCTTGGATTTATATAATTCCCATTTGACTTGATCTTGAGATGACTTGGCTTCCTTAAGTAACTTATAACGAAGATTTATTTGCTTCCTTATGTAAGTAGAAATCCAGGGTAAAGATTTGGATCTTATTTTAACATTCCTAGTTGGGAGGTGATGGTTGACTATATCCTTATATAGATAGTCCCACAGGTACAAGCTATCGTCGACGTCGTCAAAAATACCAGCCAAATGCCACGGCGCATGTTCTATATCATTTCTAAATTGTTTGATGTCAAGTGATTTGTAAGCTTTGGTCGTTATATACTTGGGTTTAGGATTAGCTTTAGTAGTCATAAAGACAGCAAATACTAAGTGATGATCAGAAATACCAAGATCAATTGCACCAGAGGTTTTCACTTTGGCTGGTTGGCTGGTGATGATGAGGTCAATGAGGGACTTTGAAGTAAGTGTGATTCTTGACGGGCAGGATATAATGTTTTTAAGGCCAAAAGAGGAGATTATCCTTTCCAGCCTTTTTCCATATTGAGATTCAGTATTACTTGATCCTTTTAACATGTCAGAATTGAAGTCACCCAAAAGAATAATATTTTTCCTTCTTAGCCAGATGTTTTCTAGCACGTTCCTGAAATGGTTGAAAAATAAGGAATCTTGAGGTGGTCTATAAATGCATCCTATCAGGAAAGATTGTGATCTTATTGTTACATTCAGCCATGTCGCTTCTAGATGGGTGCAGTTCCAACGGGTTACTAAATAAGCAGTAAGGTTCGCTCTGAAATATATTAGGACACCTCCTCCAGGACCTGAATCACGATCTCTTCTCACAAAACTGTATCCATTAATAGTAATCCATTCATCTGGAATATCTTCTCTTAAATGGGTTTCCGAGATGCCCAAGATATCAAAACTAGCTTGATCCAAAATATTTTGGACTTCTGGTAGCTTATTTAGTAAACCATTGATGTTAAGATGAGCAATTTTCAAGTTCCTGTCACCAAGTTGTTGATTCAAGACAAAGAAAGGATCATCTCCTTGCTCCGAGACACTAGCGAAGTCGCCATCTTCCAGGTACTCTTCATTTAGTCAGAAGACTGCTGCAGTAACATACACTTCGGGCAAAGCCAGAAGAGATTCTCCAAATTGATCATTTGTTGGTATTCGCGAGGAGTAACTGAACCGCATTTTACATGGCACCATTTTAAGCAGTTGTCGCATTCAATGGCACGGTGGTTCGAAGCGACTGTTCTCGAGCAAATCGAGCATTTGTCCTTAGTCGTGTTAGATGCTGCTGTTTGAGGGCCAGGATTGATGGCTACATCACCACTTATACTTATCCTGTTGATCTGGAAACGAGAAGTAGCGTTCGGATAGTAACTGATCGACGAGGAGAGAAATTTCTTCTTGCTGGTAAGATGCTGATAAGTCGTAACTGTTTATCAGTACGATGCACAAAATGTTATAGGGTTAAGTGTCGAAAAAAAAGATTCCACCAAGTCATTGTTCAAACAGTAATAAACGTTAACACGAATGGTAGCCACAAGGCAGCCGCCATACCTGACATGAGGTAATCATGAATGTTTTCCACAATAGTCTCGCGGGCTTGTGAAGAAAGGATTTGAGCCAGCACATAGCTACAATAGAATGTTGCAACATATTTAGTAACAAATTATATGGCTTTCAGAGTAAAAATTCAATTTTGTCCCTTGCTTATTTGAATGACGCTTTCCACAAAGGAATTCAACTTTTTGTCTTTCGTTTCGGTTCTTTTTCTAACACTTGTTTGGCTCTTTCTCCCATTGAGTTTTATTAAGCCCACGGCCGTTCTCTTTTCGAGTTGGTCTCGTTCATAGTGTTTCATAGCGAGGCTAAGTGCGAAACCATTAACATGAACACGATTTTTAATTCTCATGTAAATTTAACTCATTTTCACATAAAAGGTTTTACACTGAGCCTCACTTCGAAATACAGAGTTTTTGGAACTGGAAACAGCCTATTTAATTGATGGAACAAGAGCTTACTTCCCAGCATCCTTTGCGAGGTCGCACCAGTCCCTTCTCACAATATCCAGACCCTTCATTTCTTTCACTTCATTAAGGAGGCCTGAAAAGATGAAATATATTCGTATTGACGAGAAGTGAAAAAAAAAAAGCTACAAAAACACTTGGTTATTAACTTACCATCCTCATTTTCCGAAATACTGATGGCAGCATACCTTAAAAAAGAGTATATAAAGATGATTGCTACAAGCACGTGCAAAAAAGATAAAAAAATGAAGAGGAACGTGATCAATTGATGATGCTGTCTTCTCCGTTGTATAACACTTACTTCTTCTTTTTCAGTAGAAGCATGGACTTGAAAACGCCATCAATGTCGATCTCAAGTAATCGGTAAAGCTTGTTCACCTCATTTTTCACCTAAAATACAAAAAACAAGGCCACTGTTACAATAAAGTTTTATAAACAAATAATACTTTAAAGGTAGCACATCCACTTAGTAGTTCACTTCTTCGTCTACCTGATTCCTCGTCGAATTGGAATTTGGAAATGTTGGTTTTTGACGAGAGGGGAAAACAGGAGCACCCAGAAAAAAACTCGACGCCGGGATTTGAACCCGCGCTACATTAGTGGGAAACGCACTGGTGCTCCTTCCTTGCTCCCGAAAAAGATAATAGTAAATCGGAAGCTTGCTCAATTTAGGGCTTACTTTTTCCTTCTACTGCAGACATAAACAGATCATTTGGAATGCCAATACATGCAATTCAGGGTAGGATAACTGTGGGCAGTTTTCCAGAAACGTATTATTCGACCTTTTTTTTTAGTATCTGACCGTTTTGTTAGTTTTCCTTTTCTCCTCCTCACGCAAGCAAAGAGGCTCTGATGATTCTCTGATTACGGTAATTTCTTAAACCAGTGATGAACGCCATAGCTGTCTTTCGTGGGGCCCAGGACAGTATCGTTCCCATCTTTTAACCCCTTTAAGACCTGAAAGTACACGCACCTTGTTGCCTATCTTGCGGACTTCACCGAGATCATTAGAATTCGTGTTGATCATGATGGAGTCTGTGTCACCGTAAATCACATCAAGACCCATCTAAAAACAATATAAACAATCAGTTAACTTGATAACAGGACAACAGAAAGGATCATTATACATTTCTGGGAAACTGCCCACCTACCCCTCCCCTAAGCCAACATTTTGCCCTCAGTGAGAAGTAAGTGATAATATTGTCTTAGGGGAGGGGTAGGCAGGTAGTTTCCCAGAAACGTATAATAATCCAAAAGTTAAGATAAGTTACATTGATCAAAAGTCCAGACACTATAGAAGAACTAGTTATAGGCATTACAGAGGAACTCTAACTCTTCATTGCTCTAACAAAGCTGCAAATAATTTTCTTTCTCAAAGTGCATATGTTTGGCTAAGTCACCAATATTGTGGTAGGAATCGGTCAAGCACGCATTGCGCATCTTTAAAGAAAATTGTCCAAGGAAGGCGCATGATTAGAAGGCAGACTGTTTACTGCTGTTCACTGCAACAAGAGGGAACTTAAGCAACAACGACGGCGACGTCAAAGAGAACGGCAAAAAGCAGTAGCTTTAGATTGGCAAAACAAAAACTTTGCACGTGCATCACGCTTTTTATACATTTCTTTGCCGTCACTGCACGACTACGACGTGAAACTTCTTAATTTCACGTTTTAAGGAGGACGTGGACACAAGCAACGATTTTTTTTTCTTTTTTTGAACTTAGGTACAGTTTATAGGAATTCAACTCCTAAAAAAATCGCAAACACACACGTGAGATTTGACAAATTAAAAGAGTCGGAATAACAGCGACGAAGTTTGAAGCAGCGCGAATTCACTTTTCGGGTGACGTTTTCGCTGTCGTTGCGGTCTAATTATGTCCACTCAAAAAAGGTTGCATTCATCTGCTGAAAACGTAGTCTTTGGCATTAACTTCGTGTGGACATAACATCCAGCAACAGTTAAGGTTGTTTGATGATGAACTGCTACTTGAGAAAGTCTCTTACGTTTTGAACAAGTTCCTTGGTTTTCATCAAAATCTGCAATGATAAAGAAATGTGTAAAATAAAATATATTAGCAACAAAGTTCAATCATTTAGTTTGTAAACGACAGTACTCTCTATCGATGGGACCCTGTAACTGAAAGGGTCCAGGACCATTGACAGGGCTATCGACAGGACCATAGACACTACCCGTATAAAGCGGGTAATGTTAGTTACATCAGAAATACTCGTAACAAAATGTATCAACAAATGATTAAAAAATAGCAAATATATAAAACAGCTAGAACAAGAGCATTAATAAAGAAAAAGGTATTAAAGTTCAAAATTAGCCAGTATTCAGTGGACTTAGTCTATGTGAACGCATGTAAAGGTGGTCAAATGTAGGTGTTTTAACATTACATAACTAAGTGGCTGTTTACATGGAGGTGGGGGACCCCAAGTAGGCGAGGTAATCCGCTTAGGTGGGCACTCTGGGACTGTTTTAGAGGACGAACTTTGATCCAGTTCCCTGCGCAGTTCGCAATGAAGAAGTCGGAGAAAGAAAAAAGAAAAAAAAGAAAACTTTTGCGATGATAACACGATCAGTGGTCCAGCAGGGTTACACAACTAGCAGAAGTATCTTCTTATAGGTGCTGTTGCCATCACAACAAGGACGGATCGTAAAAGGAACGGAAAACATCAAAAGATTTAACGAAAAAAATATCTAAACGTATGACTTTAGCTCTCTTAGGTCTTTTTACTGAGCTAAATGACAGGTTTTCTTATCCTTATTTATATACTTCATCTACTGAAATCCCTACGCTTTACGGACACCGAGATATTACGGACAGCTTTTCTTGTCCCTGGGGAACGAAAGTCCTTACATTTTCTGTAAATTCAACCCGGTTAACAAGGACTGACCCCTTAATGTTCGTATAGGCGGGGCGTAACCGTAGGCCATTATACGGAGTGTTCTTTTCTCCCTTCCCCGCCCCCCTCCCTCCCCGCCAGGGACAACACTATCAACACTATTAAAAACTATGGATAAGGGACGGACCATTAGAAAACATGGGGGGGCGGCGAAATACTAAAAAATTTTCGCGCAAGGAAAATTAAATAAAAAAAATTCATGCACGCCAATTAATCCTAACAAATATTCATGCTATGGCCAAAAAAAATTCATACAAGGAATTTGATAACGAAAAAAAATTCCTGCGGCTCGAAAAAAATTCCCCTCCCCGCCATAACTTTTCCAATGGCCCTTCCCTAAGATAACTGGATAAAACAGGCGACAACCTCTGGCAACAAAAAGATCACTAACGCCTTCGATTTTGAAAGAAAATGTCATTGCAAAACAAAAGCTCTTTGATATTGTTTACTTTCCGGAAAATTTCAACTTCTAAATTTGCATTTAATAAGTCAAGTAAAGAGACAAGGTATAATAAATGAATTTAAAATAGTTACCCATCACGGAGCATGAAGAATCGTTTACTGATATTTTATCGATTTGCTGTAAAATCTTTGCTCAAGAAAGCTGGAGATAAAGGCAATTTTAAAGGTTTTTGAAAACTGAAACAAAGCACAATGGTATAACTCATACGAGCACTCTGAACTTTTCTCGTGACAATAATGGAATTTGGTCGAGTTCTTTTGAAAGGCAATTAAACTTTAATTGCGAAATGTCCAATTGGTCAAGTCGTGCAAATAAATAACAAGGGGATTAAATATTTCATTGACACTGGTGCAATGATTAACTGCTACAACGCGTACAGCATTGGACAAAAATATCAGGTATGCAACAGAGGCGAGGAGCTGAGAAGCTATCCGTTTAATCAACAGAAAAGGCTGCAGAAGACACGAGGTCTTTGAGTGGCACTTGAAGAAGCAGATGGTTTGAAAGTATCTAAAAATATTTTATCACTGCCATGTTGCATCGCCGTTATACGTCCATAGCGGAAGAACCCGAAAGTGGAGAAACCAGCTTACCCGAAGGTAAGAGAAGTGGCAGGCTTATTTCTGTCGCTACGGTAGGACTTAGTTTAAGGAAAGCCTTCTGTATTTTAGGGCAATAGCTAGAAAAAGTCGTGGACTGACTAACAAAGTTGTGGTCGACGGTACGCTCAATTAACCCGTGCCTCGTTTTACGGTATTTTCAAGCTACACAAGAACGAAAGACGTCGAGAAAAGGTTTTGAGGTCAAATCAGAGAATAGAATTCGTGACCTCAGTATCGTACAGAAGGCTGCGCACTAACCAAGTGTGCTTGTATGTCCTACTCCGATAAACAAACAGTATTCATATCTCGGTTAAGATACAGCTCATGACTGTATAGCGATGAATTTCTAGGAAGTGTAGGTTTATACTCTCGAAAGACAGGTTTCCAGGCCGAACAGTCGGTGCTTCCCTGTGGTGATGTGCCACTCGGGTTTCCAAAACAGTTTTAAGACTTCATGATTAAGGGAGTTCTTCGATGTTTGAACCTCGGAACAAGAAAAAAGGCGTGAAAACATAAAACCCTTGACAACCCTTAAAGGGCTCTACGGAGAACAGCATACAATTCTCCACACTCTGTTTCGTACTTTTCCTAAGTTATTAATGTAGAGAATTTGTTTTAATAATCAAGACTTTTTTCAGTTGTTGATTATTTCTGTTTTCTCATGACCTTTAAGTTTGAGAAGTAGTACTATTTCATGAAACTAAATTCCTTACAGTAGATATTCAGCAAATAACGTTTTTGGAAAAGCTGGAAAAACGAAGGTTCTTATAAGCGGGGTTTACTGTACTGTAACACTGCATACCAATGTTTACAAAGTCAAATGTTGTTATCTAAGTGAAAAACTGGTTTACATTTCAAGGTATAACAAACGCATGTAAATAAACTTACTTTAATTTTTATTTCAGTGTTTGCTTACTTATTTTTATATTTCAGAGAGAAATATCAAAGAAACAACAGACGACAAAAATCTCAGTTTTACGAAAACGCGAAACAGGGAGTCCTCCAGCCGACAATCAGCGACGAGTGCCCGACTGTCGACCTCGGAACTCACCGAAAACACACTGGACGAATCGGAAAGCGATCGGCTTTCGTTGTCAGAGGACGAAGATTTATTCGCCGAAGAAGCCGAAAACAAGTCCCAAAGAAAAGACAAGCGGGCGTCAAGTAAACAAAGCAACAGTTACCTACACCGAGCGTCGAAATACGAAGAAGAGATCTTGAAGTCAGTGAAATTAACTCCTGATCAAATTCGTGAGATAAAGGAGGCCTTCCATGTTTTTGATAACAATGGCGACGGATGTATTACCGCCACAGAACTGAAAAAACTGGTCACCTCGCTTGGTTATAATATAACAGAAGCAGAGCTTATGGACATGATGAATCAAATAGGTAAACTGAAGTATGAAGGTTGCGCCAGCTCTCTCTCGTTATCATAAAACGCTTTGAGTAACCTCGTTCATATTTTGAAAAAAAAAAGTACATAACATACTGAAATAGAAAAACTTAGGTAATGTTCCCAATATACCGGGAAGCTTTTCCGCCGCCACAAAAGCCATATCAGACAGGGATTCTGTTCACACATAAGAACGGTGATTTCTACGCGATTTGTCTGACGAAGCGAATCTGCGCCGCGCGGCTCTGTAAACTGGAGAGTCTCATATGGGATAGTGTTAACAGCATACCGTATAGCCTTTTGTGTCGACGCAAAAAGCTCTTCGGTATAGTGTAAACATTGCCTTACAAGAAAAAAAACCGCGCGAATATGAATGCGAACCAACACTGAACGACCAAAATGACCAACCATCGAAGTCAGGGGTGGGGGAGGGAAAAGACCCCCCTCTCTGCTTACCATGAGAGCTTCTTCGCAGGCGTAATTTTCGTCCCTTAACGAGCCACGGCGCGTCTCTATCGTTTCGTCAGAATATTTAACTCGGACTAATTCGCCACCAGTTACATTTTCCGTGTCTGTCGATGAGATCTGGGGACTCTTAAGTTCTGATTTTACGTTTAAAATATGTTCTTGATGTTTCCTTTTTAGATGCAGACGGTAACGGCGCCATTGACTTCCCAGAATTCCTCGCATTGATGACAAAAAATCTAGAAGACTGTGATCCGGAAGATATTTTACTGGAATCTTTCAAGGTGTTCGACAGGGACGGCAGTGGTTTCATAGGCGTTACTGAACTCGACCGACTCTTCAAGCTGCTCCGTCAAGACTTCAAAGATTACGAGATCGAGGCCATGATAAAGGCCGCTGACGCCGATGGCGACGGGCTCGTAGGTTGGGAAGACTTCACAAAAATGATGAACGTTTGAATGGATTGGACATTTCTGGCCTGCGATCGAGCTCTCCATTTGCGGGAGTCTCTAGAAATCACGCGAGAGCCGCACGCGAAAGGAGACTCGGGTGCGATGGCGCGTTGTTCGCGATTCCCTTCGCTCGCCATAACCGGAGAGCTTGCTGGGAGGCAAGGACATTACAACGAATAAACCGACGTGACCTTGGAGCTTAGGTTATTACATACTACTGAAGTATTATGAAAAAAAGTATAAGATACAAAACAAAATTAAAATATGTCGAATATGTAGAAATCTGTGTACTTTCTAGCTAGCAAACTAGCCTGAAATATTTCGTCAGCTTGGAGGTTTTTTTTTCCAAAGTTATCAGAACCAATTTTTCTTACAGATTTCAATGGAAACGACGAAACAAATAAAATTGCTCTCTGCGTGGAAAACGTTCATTAGGATTTCCTAAAAAAACCATTCCACTACTCCTTTCTCGGCGAAGGGGGGGGGGTTGCGTTTCGTGAGGAGACAAAAAGGGTTGCGCGGGAGACTAGGGTAAACGTCATTTAAAGAATAAATCACAACTGACGATTTGACTTACGTTAAGAATAATTCCGAGCAACTTTTGGTTGAAAAATGGCGAAGACAAGTTTTGAACGCTTAAAACTTTTTTTTAATTAGTATAAAGTCCCAAAACAATGAATCTAAATCTAAAGCATATCTAGTAAGCATCAAATTTTAAACGCTGAAAACAACCCTTTTCTTTCGTTTTACAGCTGTGTACTATTCTAAAAAATTCCAACGATATTGGCTACGTGACCAATTTTCATTTAATTATCTTTTATTTTGCCACCAGCTTTAACTCTTAAAAGACACGATTCAATTTTCATAAACTTGAAAACAAAAGCGAAGTAATGATGAAAGGCCAAAAACAGCACTTAGCCCACCTTCGGATCCAAGTAATTAACCTTCTTTTAAAAACCTGCATGTAAATCAGACGAATTAGGTCATCTTTTGTTGGCTTGACAATAGAATACGATCTTAACAATGTGCATCTCGTTAAATGTGAAACTCGTTTTGCGAATAAGACCAGCCGTCTTCTGCACGAGCAAAAAGAAATTCAGATAAAGCAGAGCTTGTGCTGAGGGCGATGTAGCACTCGCAATAGCTGTACGGTTTTGGCGATAGCCTTAAAATGTCAGTATTCAACAACCAACGACAAGCGAACATAAGAGTGGTTTTTCGCAAATTTGACAAAGATTCCGACGGATTTATAACTGTTAAAGACCTCATTAGCGTTTTCAGGGAACTTGGCGAGGATGTCAGAGAAGATGAACTGAGAGAGCACTTTCATAACGCAGGTAGGGGACATGGATGTGAAAAAAAGAATTTCGATAAGTATGATCTTTTACTGCGGCGTAAAAAGATGCAAATGTAAGGTTAAAGAGGTAACTGGTTACTTCTCAGCAAACCTCATTATCGGAATCTTTTATCACGTTCTGATAACTGTTAGGTCTACAAAGATATTTCCCAAGTTTTTGATGTTAGACACTAGTTAAAAGCTTGCAATTCCCCTGACTGGCTAAGATATTTTGATCCTTACATACAACCGGGAGAGAGTAATCCAGGACTTAACTATATAGAGACTTCTTAATCGACCTTGGATCATTACTTTTAAATAAATCATCTCGATCTCCGATTAAATCCTCTATCACACCCATTTTTTGTAATTACACATGTGGGAGGGTCAAATAGGATAAGCTACATCTCACCTTCCAATATTAGAGCCAGTGTTGAAACCTACCCTCCCCAGCTACATAATTTACTGCAATTCTCTCCCCCTTCCATCCCTGACATTTTATGCCCTCCCCTCTGAGGTTCACGTATTTTTAGTTATTTTTAAATAAATCATTTCGATATTTAGCATTAAACTGTAATGGTTCACAGTGATATGCCATCGAGTCAACTCGTCGCTTTAACAAGCTTTCTTTTTCTCGTTTATTTTCAGGCCTGGGACACCGACCAAACACGCTTATATCTTATGATATTTTTCAGCAGATTTCCAAAAAAATCCTGCGTGAATCGAGAAAGGAACGACGTCTTAAAAGAGTGTTTCAAGAGTTCGACGCGGAAAAGAAAGGCTACATCGAAGGGAATGGGATACGGCGGGTTCTTCGAAGACTTCACATTGATCATACAGAGTCAGATATAGACTTAATGATGAAAATGGCAGATACAAAGGGAGATGGAAGGGTAGATTTTGAAGAATTTCTCCAGATTTTCAACGACTCAGATGATATATAAGAATTTCGCCATATACTATTGCTGCGGCTAGTGCAGAAAAAAAACAAATATGTTTATTTTTAGTTGTTGATCGAGTTAATCAGATTGTTAAATGGTGGGCAATTGTTTTCAATTCCAGATCAAGCTGTTTTCATTTTGGGGATTATAGACAGGAAATTTGATTTCTCAAACGTTCAAAATTCTTTAATAGTTTGACTTGTCGTAAGATCTCTTAAGCTGTGAATGTTCAGGTAATCCGACTAAAATAAAATAGTTTAAACAAAGTTGGATTAACAAACCGAGCAAAACTTTTAAAGTCACAATTTTAAGGGAAGTACAATAAAAAAGCTACAGAAATAATGAAAAAAAATAATAATATGTAAACGTCTATAGCACTCCGCTCTCATCAATTAATTTTTTATGGCCATGAAAAATCAAGCGTCCTACGACTTGGGTCAATCAAAACTTTTATGCTTTCAGATGCGAAGATGTGATGCCGGCTTCGACAACTTGAAATTAGTATAAGGCAGAGTTACGCGAACAAATACAGGTGGTTTCCACACAAGGAAATACTATTTTTTTCTGATTTTTTTAAAAATAATTTTGCAAAAAAGTCATCGCACTCAATTCATAAATATTGTTAGACAGCTGGCATACTTTCTTCTAAAATGAAAAAAGTAAATTTAAAACAACGTTTGATAGAAAAACAAAATAGAGAAGGAAATAACACAGCAGGCATTTACAGTCCGTCAGTGGTCACAAGTACTTTTCTATGTCATTTCAAAACTAATGAATGAAAAAAGAAACAAAGCTCTTATAGCAACTACTTGACGTCATTTCAACCGCAATATTTTTTTTCACGTAACATGGCAACAAGAAACAGCATGGCCAGCCGACCGTAGAAGCGCGGTTGTAAGAGAAAGACCAATCAGAACACAAATAAATACGCAGCCGGTGAAGAGCGCGGGAAAATCTATTGGTGAGGGTTTTACTAGGGTCCAAGGCTTTAACAATACTCCCGAGATCACTGGCTGTTCAGCTATCTCACCTATCAAATAGAAACTCGAGAAATCCCTCAGCGAAAATTAGCGATTCTCCCTTTTTTCGGGTCTCAGATAGCGGTTATAGTTCTGGCACTCCACGCGCGTTTCGTGGTACGACTTGCGGGCAAGTCTAAAGTTCGCGCAATGTAGAAATTGGTGTAGACACAACCTACTGTCTCAATAGAGACCTTAGGATACACCGTTTCCGTGTACGGCGACGGGTGAATTACCCTTACCCCTAGCCGTAAAGACGGGGTATACTGTTTCATACCCTGAAGGAAACGCCGACTAGGCTACCGGGTAAAGTTACTGTAATAATAGACCTCAGATAATCCGTTTTCGAAGCACTTTTAAGCCGGGCAAATTTCCCTTACCCCTACCCCCAGAGGTAAACACGGGTATGAGAACGCTTACCCGAGAGAAACGGCTAACCCTCCGGGATAAGTGTTAGGGCCAATAAACACCGATTACTTAAATCACAGTCCCCTTTTCTAGTATAAACAGACGACAAAAACGACAGTGGATCTTACGGTTCCTTGCCATGTTCTCTAGCAAGCGAACGTACGTCTACCTAAGACTCGTGCTTTGTTATTGTCCTTAATAGACCTTGGCACGGTTTTCAACGCCACTTTGACGAGTAGGCAAACGCGTTTTTCAGAACAGCCGTTCTACGGAAATTATTCGAAATTAGATTCTCATACAAACACTGTAATTTCTCACGCGTTTGCCTACTCGTCAAAATGGCGACGAAAACCGTGAAAAAGGTCTACTGTCCGCTTTTTTTTTTTCGCCTCCATTATTTTTCCTTTCGCGATTGCATGTTAATGTAGTGCAGTAGAACCTTGATATAATGAACTTCTATATTATTATAACGAAGTCTTTGGTATAACGAACGATTTACTTTACCCCCGTAATAGTAAAATACGTGGAAAAGTTCCTCAATATAACAAAACCTGTTATAAATTTGTTCGTTATAACGAACAAATTCTGCCGGTCCCTTGGCACTTCATTATATCGAGGTTTCACAGTATCGTTTTATACGGCAAACTTAGTAAATAAACAAATAAATAACAAGTCTAATGGTTGTTAAGATTCGCTTGTCTTACCTCTCGCCCTTTGCTTGTTACAAGAGCAGCCAGAGGTTTGGCGTAGAAACGAGAATGTGAAAATCCTAAGCAACCATACATACTGGAAAAAAACGAAGCGGATGAATAAAGATGATGTTTCAACAGACGATTCGCAACGACGAATTTTAGCACAACACAGCGTTGCAACATTGTTTTGAATGCTTGCAACATTGTTCCAACATCGCAACGCTGTTTTGCACTAAAAGTCCACGTTGCGAATCGTCCCGTGTAACTTTCAGGAACATTTAATTTTCTGGCTATTTGCCATCTTTAGAGGCTTACTTTACCTCATATTAAGTACATTTAGTCTGTAACCAGACCAACGTGAAAAAGGGTTGAATAAAAAGGTCCCAAAAAGATACTTTTTGACAAAAATAGTTGAAAAGTACACTGACTTACATTATGTTTTAATTTATATTTGAATGAGACCTTTCCGTTATATGTACATCTCATTTACCTGTTGGCAGTTAATTTCAAAGCTTTCTGTCTGATATCGTACTGAAACAAAAACAAAGGTCTTGGTTATAAACAGGTTCCCAGAGAAATCTACTTGCAGGTGAGGGGTGGGGGGTTAACCCTGCGTACTAAACTGTACAATGAGGGAAGACTACTAAAGCCTATGACTCACTGCTCAATATCGTTTAACAATTAGTTGCTCAACAAATGACAAACGATGTCGCCGCTTGTTGAACGAGTAGAAATAAATTACCCACTCGAAAAAGATTGACTGTCTTGCGCTACAGTTGCTCCGGCATTTTTTTCAGTTTCCATGACATACATTTCTAGCTGATGTTGGCTAACATCAACTTACTTGAATATATCGATCTGATTCTCGATTGAGGTTCTTCATCATACCTTTCACCTGCAAAAAAAACAAAGACTTCAGTTGAAAAGAAATATTATTAAATTTCTTCCAAACAGCGTGCGTTCTCATTGGTTACTTCGAGGTCACATGACATCTAACAATAAAACTGTTTCCCGCCAAAATCTCTAAGCGGGCAACGTTGCAAAATCTATGAAGTCAGAGGGTAACAGTGCACTGTTACCTGCGGATGTTGACCGACGACCGCAGTTACATCCACAGACGGAACTCTTAATCTCGTTTAGTCAGCCTTTCTTACGCTATCACCGTGCGAGCTCACAAGGTAGGCCTTGTTTGTATGTAATTAAAATAAAGTTGTGAAATGAATTAATCAGCATGTCACGATTCAATCACTTTTTCAAGTGATTGAAGAGGCTATTTGAAGCTATTCAATTTACTTTCCTTTTAAACAGCTAAAACGTACATCAACTGAATTCAAATGGTCCAGTTTTGTTATTCAGGCAACGAAACTGTGTGCTTCCTGTCATCTGTTGCTACTGACGGCAAGAATATACAGTGGAACCCCGCTTAATACGGACACCCCGTTATTGCGGACAGTTTTTCTTGTACCTAGCCCTTACATTTTCTCTAAATTCAACTCGCTTAATATGGACACTTTTTATTGTCCCCTTAGCGTCCATAAAGTGGTTTGGCTGTATAAGGATTGAAACTTTTCAAGTTTTAATGCTATGCATGCAAAAACCACCAAAAAATTATGGCAAATGCTGCCTCAGTAATAGAATTTTTTTTAATAGAGCGATTTTCGTATGTCCTCGAAGTGAAAACGCGCGAACAAAACAAGCACAACAAACGTAAGGAAATAGGGCGATTTGATTGGTTTATCGAACAGATACAAACGCGGGTGGCTTTTGGTTGGATAAGCGAACGCTCGCGTGAAAAACCTTCATGCTCGAAGGGCTTTCTAGAAATCAATCGATTCTTCGCTTTGACGTCATACTGCAACACGATTAGCCAATCGAACAGTGCCTTCTCCATATTAAGGTTTTCTTTGGCGGGAAAACAAAGAGGCCATGTTTTGATCTCTTCATCCATTGGCTGATAAAACAAATAACGAACACTTACCGAAACCATTTTTCGAGGTCATACGAAAATCGCTATATCTTCTTCATTACACTACAGGAGCATTTTATGTATGGGTTAAGGCACTAAGCAATGACTTTATCACATGACTGACCTAAAACACATGCAATATCCTGATGACAGAACACCTTCAAGTTAGAAACGCAGATACCAACCTGTCTTCTTCGTTCTACCAGTTTTCTGATCTCTGTTGGAAGGATTCCAGGCTCTAAATCTGGATCAGGTAACTCAACAACTTCATTCTCGTCAGCCTGCTGGAATAAAATTTCCTTCTTTTCAGGATTTCAACCATAGGTTCAAAAGTTATAAACGTCTCGTACAACACAATAAACAAAACCACAGGAAAGCACTACTCAGAGGATTTCACTAAAACGGTCACACTTTTTATAAATTAGCATTTCATTCATACCGCACACTGCCGCTACATCTTCGTGTACTATCAGGTGTAAGAACTCTTGGCTTAAACCTGATAATACACTCCAGCTCGTTTTATAAACAGTACTAAAAGAACAGAAACTAATGAAATCAATTAACTCACTCCACTGGTAGAGCCAGAGGTTGTTCTACTGATAGTAGTGAAACAGATGTTGTATTCCTGAATGATGGACGGGTACAAACTGTTGAAATCCAGCAGCAAAATGTGTTTGTCGTAGAAACCTAGAAAAACGTACATTATATGAGAAACGTGATTCACGCGAGTAACATCACGACCTAGTTAGAATTTGCTGCACACCTGAATGGTGATCGACATCCTTTGAAGTGTGAACTATGATTTTTAAAAACGTCCCACGCGATTTGTTACTAAAAACTATTGTGAAAAAAAATAACTCAGTGGTCCACAGTTGCAGCAATGAATTTTAACATACCCATTCCAATAAGAGGGAATTAAACTATCATTTTTAAATGCAAATTAAAAATAAGTAAATAAATTCACGATGACAACTTTGTCCCTTGCACCCGGTAGCCTCATTGTAGAGATAAGACGTCTGTTAGAAAGCTGCACTTTATTCCTCTTCAGTCCATCTGAACTCCCCCCCCGCCCCGGACTAATAACGGCACAAGTCAGATAGACCAAAAAACCCACTCTTTTTCAAATCGTGCAATGGTGCTTCTTTTCGTTTTCCCCACTAAGTAACTTGGAACCTGGAACAGACTAAGCTAAATACCTTTCTTGGGATCTAACACAAGACCACCGGCATAAGCTGGTTTTCTTCTTCCTTTCTTTGCGCTTCGTGTGTGTTCCTCTTCATCGTGCTCTGCCTCAACCTATAAATGAAAGGAAAACGTATTATGATTCGACCCCCCAAGAAAACTCTCTTTTTAAAAAGATGGTCAAAGCAAGCCGCGAGAGAACGCGCGAGTGAGCGGTATCCGTCTCGCGTGCCGCTCGCGCGTGACTTTTCACGAAAGCCGCCAAATGGAGTGCTTGTTCGCAGACTAGAGTTCAAGGTGCTTAATAGAAATAAGCCAGAATTTTTCTGGGAAAACGCAGGGACGCTTCGACAGTTTGTAAAATTAACACGGTACTGAATGTTGTCTTAATTCTCACCACTTGTTTTTTGCCGTAACTTTTGTCAGGGCAGATGAAATTCCTGTGGAATAAAATAAAAATATAAATCTGACTTAAAAGTTTTTTTTACTTCTCAATGATGCTTAATGTAACTTTGCAACTGTGTTTTTCATGGCTGCACTAGGTAATCGACTGAAAAAAAATCATCCCAGTTTCTCAACAGATCATAATAAAACCAACCCCAACCGCAACTCAACCGCACAAAATTTCCCCAACCCTCGTTCACAGGGTCTTCTCCTTAATCGTGGGAACGAGGATGAAGATTTCCCGCGCTTCGCGCCGATCACCCGCATTTGGTTCGAGATTGTTGAAAACTACCAACCCACCCCTCCCCCAACCCAACATTTTGCCCTCGCAAGAAGTATGAGTTAAAATTGCATTAGGGGAGGGGTAGGTGGGGTAGTTTCCCAGAATCATATACTGCTCCCAAATTGACAGTTGATTGTTTGCCTTTGTGGTGACGGGTTAGCGTGATCACTGTTGTTCTGGGTTTAGGACATTTGAAAAAGAACCTACTTCGAAACTGAGCAGTAAAAAGTCTTACTTTTCGTTGAAGGCATGAAGTAAAAGAAATTCGTTTCTTTCTGATCGACCGCCAAGAAGAGTGCGGGCCTGAAAATAAAGCAAGATTATTGGTCATTGATTGTAATTTCAAGTTTCAATATTTTCAAACGGTAATTATGCATAAAACTTGAAGAGAATTTAAAGACTCACCATAACATTTCCAGCAATAGTCGTTATCTGTAGAGCCAGTGGTAAAACCTAGAAATATAAATGATTTAGAAAAAGTTGTAAACATATTTGCTTTAAGATTTGATAGGATCGGGTTTCATTAGATTCAATCAGCCTGTGATTTAACTGGTCAGAGTAACGACTTACTTATGGTTTAGCCTGGGTTTAACCACCTTAACCACTCTTAACTTGCCTGGAACAGGCAAATGTGATGTATGACATTATCGTAGTCGAAAACCTCCGTTTTCGTCCGTCCACACGTAAACGAGAAGCCAACGTTTGCAAAAATCTCCACCTCGGAGAGCGTTTTCGAAAAAAACATGCGTTTTCGGGGCCGTTATCACCGGATACGTTGCGACGGTAGGCCAAACTGGAGGGAAAATATATCTGTTTACAAACAAAAACGGACACGTGTGGACGGGGCTTTTATTTCAGTTGGGGGACAAAGCGCAGAATTAAAATGACGGAAGTTCAGTTAGAAAAATTGATTATGTGACAGGAGGTCTAACGAGAGTGGAAATCACATTTTAAGGAAAAAAAACCAAGAGTTACGTTCAAATCGTACATGATCCTTAGTGACAGCAAAGCGTTCATCTGAAAAAAAAAAAAAAAAACAGGAAATGCATGAGATAACACACACAATCACAAGACCAAAGATGATCAATGACACATATTGATCAGCACTTACCGAAGTCAGTTCAAACATGTGAAGGAGTTCGTGAGAAGAACTGGAGAAAAAAATAAAGAAAATTTAAATTATTAACTTAAAGGACTTCTTAAACAATTACTACCCAAAACGAACCATTTATCCACCAAAAAAAGTGTTGATCTCTTAGACATCAGTCAACATAAGGGAACACTTTCTAACATTCGTGAGCAATAATGTGACGTACGATGCAAGAACATTTGGCTACGACTAAAGATTTTCCTTGATTACTTACTTAAACTTGTTTGGAATTTCATCTTGGTCAATTTCTTCTCTTCTGGACTGAAGGACAGCCCACGATAGAGCTAGGAAAAAATGGGAAAAAGAGAAGCGTGTATAAAACTTGGAAATTTGGATGTTAAAAAAGGGCGAGTCACGTTAAAACTAAGGATGCACTTAGCATTTTACGCGCGCGACAAGGCGTTTTAGCTCCTTCTCGGGAAAAGGCAACAAGCTTACCTCGGGGAAAAATAAAAATGATCGTTTTATCCCGTAATCAGTTTACCCGCGTCAAATGTTGTCCTCGCGACGAGTGTTGTCCATCATACGAAAAAATAAACCAAGGAAACTTTAAAAAGTTCAAGAGCAGCAAACCATGATCGCTACCGAGTAGTTTATCTTGGGCTTCAACGATAAAATACCCGTCAAAGTGGCATGTCTGTAAAGTAGCTAATTAGCTAAGAACACCGACCACGTTAAATAAAGGGTATTGTATTGTATTGTATTGGAAAGAGACGCCATGAAATTTCCCGCGCAAAAGATGCTCAGTACGCGGCGACGAAGTACCGCGGGAAACAAACATGAGTGTGACTGCTTTTACCTCCTTATATACAACAACAAAGTGAGTGTAACCACGACCAATAAAAGCGCTGGTAATAGTAGGCCGATGCTGTGGTTTAACTAAGCCAAATGCGGAAGGCTCACTGTTGAAAGCGCTGGTAGACGTAGTAGTAGACTCCTTGTGTGGTTTAACGAAGCTAAATGCAGAAGGCATACCTGTTAAATCATAACTCTTGCATCTGATAAGCTCCTTGGAGGAGATCTTGACATCGCAGACCATACGCCCACTGGTAATGCAGCGATCAAGATTACCACCCTTGCCAAACCCGCCACTCTGGAAAAAAGATTAAAAGTATTGAAAATAACACACTATTATTCGAGGCGTTTAGCGAAGGATAGCACGTCTCTTAAGTTACATTTGGGCTGTAAAAATTGCCGCATCTTTCAGTAAAAAATCTTTAGAGAAACTGAATCGATATTGGGGATATATGTTCATACTATATCGGAGAGCTTTTGCGCCGGCACGAAAACCATAGCGGACAGGGATTCTGTTCACGCATAAGAACAATGTTTCGAGTGAAGCTGCGCGGCGCCGAACTCTAACGTGGAGAGACACATATCGGATAAGTGTTCCGGGTATAGAGTGAACAAAGCCTAAAGGTGATGTCACACGGGACGATTCGCAACGACGATTTTTAGCTCAACACATCGTTGCAATGTTGGATCAATGTTGTAACTATTCGAAACAATGTCGCAACATTGTTGCCACGCTGTCGCCTGTGTTGCGAACAACGACAGCGACTTTGCACGTGCATCACGCATTTTTGTACATTTGTTTGTCATCAGGGAGCTTAAGCAACAACGACGGCGGAGGCAACGGGAACAGGAACAAAGCAATACGTTAAGATTGACAAAACAACAACTTTGCACGTGCATCACGCTTTTCAGTACATTTTTTAGCCGCCATTGCACGACTACAACGTGAAAGCGCTTAATTTCACGTTTTGTCGAGGACGGGATCACAAGATAACAACTTTCTTTTTCTTTCCTGAACTTTGATACAGTCCTTCACAATTAAACTCCAAAAAATTTGCCAACATTTGACGAATTAAACGGATGGAATAAGCGCGATAAAGTTTGAAGCAGCGCAAATTCACTTTTTAAGTGACGTTTTCGTAGCCGTCGCTGTTTTTCCGCCATCGCTGTCGTGCTTGCTAGAGCTCCCTATTGAGTTGAATGGCATCCTGGGACTGTTTTGAGGGACAAATTCTGACCCAATTTCCTGCGCAACCTTGTAACAAGAAAGCGATAGCCTCCCCACAACCGTCCCATACTGCAATTGGACACAGCACCGAACCAGTCTCACGCAGAAATTAATATGCTCAATGTCATCGTCTAGAATCCCTGATGGCGGGAGACAAACAATTTGGCATTTTTATAGTTTCTTACCGAGAGTTTTGGCATTATGGTTCTTTTGAGTCGTCCAAGACGAGACCAGTGAGGTATCTATATGAAAAAAGGAAACACGTTAGCATTGTTTTAGCGTCGGAAGGAGCAAAAAAAGGAGATTTGCCATTTGATAAATCAAAACTGCTACAAGAACTCATTATCCAATCTGTTAATAATTAGAATCATTGTACTTACCTTACAAGCATTAATCCTGTGCAACAAAAGATCTAGATCGAATCCATAAATGTCATGACCCTATAATATCAAGAGCGTTCAAACGTTTAGCACTTAGTTTGACATCCTTGGCGCAAAACCTTGCATAAAGATATGCCCTGATCAAATCACTATTCACAAGAATAGTACAGAACTCTGACTATGTTCACATGGCAACGGACCAATTTTCGACCCGGCTGAAAAATTTGACCTAACAGTTCCTTCACACGGGAACCTTCAATACTTCCGCTCTGTTCTCACGGAACTTTGAACGGCTAAACGTCTAAATTTTGGTACGGTTAAGTTTGTTCCGTGTGAACGCATCACCTAAACCCACGAATTTCAGTTCAACCGGTTGAAAATTCAACCGCTGCTGTGTGAACTTAGGTCCAGTCTCTAGCCTTGGGTGTCTCGATGTGCCCGCAGAACTCCCCACCCGACTCGGGAGGGGAGTACCCGAGCCTAAGGGAGAGGGGAGACTGAGCCTAGTGTTAACGTAGTAGATAGGGCAATCAACCGCACAAATCTCTATCCAGTGCATAGCGCAATAGGTTTTCCTAAGACATATCCACTGAATAATGCGGATTTATCCAGTGGATAGCACCTTTCAACGTTTGAACAACCGGGGCCGCAACTGTAAAAATAAACGGTACACAATTGACGTTGGAAAACCTTCATTTAACCCTGTTTTTTCAACGAACCAGCACACCTTCAATTCACCACTTTAGACCTACGACATTTAGAGTCGTGTCTTTTTAATTAATTTGAAAAAAAAAATCTCGAAGATGAAATCAGAAGGAGAATGAGAGAGAAAATCATCAGTCAAACAAAAAAAAAAGTTGCAAATAAACATACCACCAGCACGTCAGGATCAATTTTGTGAATCTTCGCCATAAATAAGCCGAGAAGTGCTCTCTCCGATGCAGTGATCTCCATTTTAATTTGCTACAGAAAAAAAAATTGTTAACGGCTGCAGACACACACAATTTCGTGAACCGTTGCAAACGGTCACCCGTAGGGGCAAAGTCTCCCTGTCACCCGTAGGGGCAAAGTCTCCCTTAAAAGTAGTCATCTATCTATCTTTCTTTTTTTTATTGGCTGAAGGAACTGAAGAAAATGCATCAATGCATATCACAGCCATGAATGCAACGTTAATGGTTTTGCTATATAAAGAGGGTACATTATTTCAATATTTAGCGTCTTGAACACTGGGGTGTCTTTCTGGACTGGAAGCCTTGAACAGGGTGAGGACATTTGTGGTGAGTGGTCTACTTGAGCGGTAATAATGTTTTTAAAAAAATCGTATTCATTAATTCAATGATGTCACTTTCTAAAAGAGCTTGAAATCTGTATGCGAAGCAAAATGAATTAGGGTCACTAGGAAAAAAATGTATCTTTTCCTGAACAGTGTAGTGAAATGAACGGTGTTTATCTTAAACAGGGTCAGGGATTGAAGGGCTTGGCATAAATCCCTACCTAAACCGTTCCCTTGAGGGACCCACGGGGGGATTGAGGGTATGCCTCTTCCCAATTTTTTTTTCTAAAAGTTATTTGTGGTGATTTTTTCAATGCTGATTTTGCGCTTTGACTTAAATGTCTGTTGAATGAAGGGTTCGGTAGAAACTGTAGTGCTTATGGTTGTATCGGTGCAAAACACCAAATATTCTCTACCTCCTGCCTATTCAGAAGTCGACTTTACCTTTTTTCTGACAAGATCTTTAAAGTCATACGGGTACATCTGATCATTCGGCTTGCTAACAGCTGAAAAACAAAGATGGCCGGTAAAAACTCTGGCAGAACTCGTAATTTAAAAAGTAGGCTTTCATTTTCTTATCAGTAAGAGTCATTCATGACGCTAGACCTAACGAAACTACGGCGGAGACGGCAATAAAAACACGAAACACATAGATTTAGAGAGCAAAACAACAACTTTGCACGTGCATTACGCGTTTCTGCACAACTACAATTTTAAGTTAACTTGACAGCGGAAACGGCAAAACGATTAATTTTACCATCACTAGGGAGCTCAAGCAACAACGACAGTAATGCTACGAAAACGTGAATTCGTGCTGCCTCAAACTTGATCGCGCTTATTCCATCTCGTTCAGTTTGTACAAATGTCGGCAATTTTTTGGCAGTTGAGTTCTGAAGGACTGTGCCAAAGTTCAAGAAAAGAAAAAGAAAGTTGTTGTCCTGTGTTCCCGTCCTCGACAAAACGTGAAATTAGGCACTTTCACGTCGTAGTCGTGCAACGACGGCTAAGAAATGTACAAAAAAGCGTGATGTACGTGCAGAGTTGTTGTTTTGCCAATCCAAACCTTTTTCATTTTGCCGTACTCGTTGGCGTCACCGTCGTCGTTGCTTAAGCTCCCCAGCTCTCTGAACTCGGACGCCGTCCATTCTCGTCATTTCCAACTTAGTTTCCCTACTTTCACTTGGTATGAGGGCGATTGTAATGGCACCTGAGCTAACCATGAGGTACTTCATTTAACTTACCACAAAAGTGATATTGGAATTTCTGTTTTGGAGCAGCCTTATCTAAGGACACGTCATGGTGAACCAGAGCTGACACAGCCAAGATCTAAAACACAACAGAGAATAAAAAGTCAAATGACCTGGAAATTCTTCTCACCAGAAGGGGGAGGGGTTTCCCCGGGGGGAAGGACTCCCATATGAAAGGGGCGGGGATGCTCGTCGTCTCGCTTAGGGGTGTAAATTTGGGATGTTGGTCTCACTTAGCGTGTTCTGGGCAAAACGCCATTATATTTAGCGGTAAAGGTCTCTGTTAGTGTTGCACGCAAAGAAATATTAAAAAATTAAATATTTATAATTCGTCTTATTTCCTCGATTCATGTAATCAAAGTTTAAAATGGTCTCTTTTAGGGGTCCAAAAAAGGTTGCGCCACGCCCAGATTGGTCTCCTTTATGGGTTTAGTGCAAAGTTTCCGACGAGCATCCTTTCCTATGGGAATCCCCACCCCCCACCCGCCGCTGAGGCTTTGACCCTTGTTTTAAGAGAGGGGTAAGCCTGGCTAGGACATCAAGGCCTAAATCATACTTTTCCCACTGAGATGGGGAGAGTGGGGGGCAGGAATAAGATGTGGGTATTGAAGCCCGTCTTCAGCGAGAACCAGGTTCTTAAGCAGCACCTCTTTTTAGAAAAAACGTTCACTATACAAGAACTCGTTGATTGTTAATCGCAAATCACCACCACAGATCCAAAGTCAATTCATCTTCACAGGACACCCAACAATTGAGGTAATCCAACTTCACAGGCAGCCCATCTCTGGCATTGCTGAAGGTATTTTTAACAGGCATCTCATTATTGCATTTCAGAAAGTAAAATGTCACATTTTTAGTGCTTGATTTTACTCATTGCTTACCTCATGGGTGTGAGTCTTGGTGTTAAACATAGTCCTAAAACTAAGGCTCATAACAACCTACACAAAACATAATAATGAGAATGATATTAATACTGATTATGATGATATTGATAATGATAATGATATTGGTAATAATAATGATAACGATAATGATAATGATAATGATAATGATAATGATAATAATGATAATGATATTGATATTGATAATGATAATGATGATAACAATGATATTGATATTGATAATGATATTGATAATGATGATATTGATATTGATAATGACAATGATATTGGTAATGATAATGATATTGATAATGATATTGATAATGATAATGATATTGTTAATGATAATGATAATAACAATGATATTGATATTGATAATGATATTGACAATGATGATAATAACAATGATATTGATATTGATATTGATAATCATGATATTGATAATGATAATGAAAACTAGCAGCACTAGGGGTTAGCATGCATCCCTCTTCTTTACTTGCTCACTAATTTTGCTGTTACAATCTTACCATAGGCGGAGGAGGACTTTGTTCACTTGCTACTTCAACATGATCAGGTTTTGTGACTACAGCCTGCAAAATAGTAATAATGATGTTACACTTAATGAAAACAAAATAATGAAAAAAAAGTTTTGTCCACATACTGAACAAAAAAATTCCTACCTCAACTTTACACCAACTAACAGGTTGCTGAGGGAGCTCTGATGAAGGCAAAAAATTATCTGTTTAAGTTTGTGTCAAGTCTTGTACATAAAGTCAACAACAACATATACCTTAGTATAAGGAAAACTTAGGGACAATAATAAAATATTAATTTTTTCATTGTTGAGTACTGACAATTATTGTGTTGAGGTGTGGGTGTTTTATGGGTGCTTTTTATATTACATCATATGGTACAGGGCTGTGCTCTAGCAGAGCCCGGTGGCCCCTGGCGCCTAACGTTTGCCCTTGGGCGACTAGAAAATCTCAGATTTTTTATACAAATCATACGCTGGGCACCCTAGATTTTACAGTTTTAGAGCACTGGCCTCCCTTCAATTTTCCTTAGAGCACAGCCTTGTGGTAATTCCACCAAATTCAAAGCAACTGTTCACAACCATATTAAGGCCGTCATCAGGGGCCAGGGACCAGGGATTTCCCCTGGCAACTATGAGCATGACACCAGGCTTCTTTCATAGCAAACAAAAGGAAAAGAAAACCAAAAGAACTTCTGAGCTGTTCAATATCTGGCAACTTTTGACATCTACAGCTGTAGCCCCTCCTTATCTTTAAAACAAGTACCATTACTTGATATCACAAGTGTCAACAGTCTTCCCTATTACACTAGTGGCTAGTTTGTACATCAATAATAAAATGGTGCATACTGAGGTTTTATTAACCATTTGACTTACGAGGCATCTTAATATTGAGCCAACAAGGACCTTTCATCTTCCGACTCAGGAGAAGGAGTTCAAGGCTGAAATTAGAAAGCAAAAAGATTCCTTTAAAGAGAAATAACTCCAGATCACCAAACCAAACTCCATTCTGATGAAATTATAAATGTTTACCACTTTCAGAAAGGCAATAGAAGATTGCAAATCTAGGAAACAGTTGATTTCATGATAATGTCTTCTTTAATGTTTAAATTCTATAGCTTTAAAATCTAAGCAGTTATATTTCATCATTATTTCTTTGTTGCTTTCCAACATTCACTATCTACTTATAACTTTAGCAAGTTCACTTGTCAAAGTCAAAAAACATTAACCCTTTAAGTGCCAATAGTGACCAAGATCAATTTTCTCCTAACAATAGCCACACACTGTCAACAGATAAGTTATGAGAATTAATAAAGTGATCACCCAAGAAAAAATGCCTTGATCTTTTATCAAATTCTCTCAACTCATTCTTCAAGGAAATGTATGGAGATCAGTTTGGAGAATTTGTATGTGGATACTGGGGCTTAAAGGGTTAATTTCGAATCATTACCTTGATGTATTGGTACCAAACACATGACTGAATGTTTGACCAGTGAGATCAGATGGTAACTGAGGATAATCTGCCTGTCATGAATAATGTTGTCACAAATTAACTACTTTTTTCATCAACACTGTAATTGACCCTCCTTCCCTTTCACTTTCACCCCGCCCCCCACTCCCCTAGTACCCTTACTGGGGAAGCAGCGTGGCCAAGTGGTACTCGCATCAGACTCCCAATCTGTCAGTCCCGAGGTTCGAGTCCCACTTTGGCCACTTGCTGGATTTGTTCTTGGTCGTCCCAAGTTCAAATCCTAAGCCACGCTTGTAAATAGCCAACTGGTTGCCTCCTCCAAGTTTTTTTTTTATTCCTGTTATATTCTATTTGCATTATTTGTTTCAGAATTATTTGAGTGGAGTGCCTGTAAACTAGCTGGATAAGCTAAGTGCACTTTCCACTATAAACCAACCTTTAAACCTTTTTTTAAGCCTTTACAGCGTAAAGCCCATCCTGGTACCTTCCCTTCTCAAGTCTACCCTTACTGTCCTTATCAAATTCAAAGAGCCAATATTTTTCAACATGTGACCTTTGTCAAAAACACTTCCAGCAACCAGATTATCACCTACAAAATCACATGACCTTTTGGAGTTAGATTCAGGGAACACATTTCCAACACTAAAGCAACAACCAAGACAGTGGGGGAACCACCTGAAGTATATTCAGGCCACGCCCTGGATATCGCCTCCACCTCAGTATTTGCAAGGGAAGATGACATGTTTAAATAATTAAGTGTCATGGACAACAATGAAATCAATTGTCCGGTTCCAACATTGAATATGCCAAATACGAGATTCCATGATCTACAGAACGGTTCATCACCTGATTCACAGTATAAATCACTTGAAAAAAAAAAGAAAGATTAAAACTCCATCACTTGATAAAGATTCCAAGATGGAATGGAAAGCTTGTGTGTCTTAAAAAAAATTATTTTCACAAGTCTAAAAACTGGTTTACCGGTATGTTTGTTCTGTTATAACCTAAAATTTATCATCTCTCACCGAATATTTGACCTCCAGGTACTCTGATGTCACAGGAACATCTTGAATCTCAAATGCATAAGCCTTTTGGACTTTCTAGGGACATAAGTTTATACACACACTCATCAACAGAACTGCATAAAAGTGACATCAAAATTATTTAAACAATCTGAATTACCCTAGATATGAACTTCATTATCTTGTGCTTTGTTGCAATCTTATCATTAAACTCCTGAAAAAGAAATAACAAGAAAGTGATCTTTTACTCTCTCTCTCTCTCTCAAGTAATTCTTTGATGGAATATATTGAGATCAGTAGACAGAATTTGGTATGAGGAGATTGGTGAACCCCAATACCCATTTTAATATGTGAAAGTTGGCTGCCAAGGGTGGGGGTGGGAGGGAGGGGTATTAGTCAAGAGAGCACCATGCTTTACTAGTAAAATTTAAAGGAGGGGGCTTAAATATCAGTCGGGGAGTTATTAGAAGGACTACAGCAGCAGATCCAGAAAATTCAGAGAGGAGTGGGCAGGACACTTAACAGCTCTATTCTAGATACTTTTTATTTTTCTGAGACGAAATTTTATAAAAATAATATTAGTTTTCAAAGGAAAAGGGGTGGTCGCGGCCCCCTTGGTCCACCCCTAAATCTGCCCATGGAAAACAGTAATCAAAATTACCATGATTAAAATCAAATCATTATTTTTTTTACCTGGTAAACATCAATAAACCCAACAGGCTCATCAGTTTCAGAACCATCAACTTCAAGCTTCTAAATGATATAAAGTAAAAAAAAAACATCAATTAATTTAGAACACTGTTGGAACAGGTGCAGATAATATTTGAAAAGACATGCAAGAAGAACTCAACAACTGCAGCAGTGTTTTTACATCCATTCTCTCACCTTTTCTCTTGGGAGAATAAATATTTGTCTCTCAATGTTCTTGACTGCCACTGAACAGCTAATACGAAAAAAGATAAATTTTTAATTAGCAGTTGCAAGTCCACTAAGTGGTCCTTCTGGTTTCCCATGGGGGATTTCCGAACTTAGTTAAAGAGAAAAACAAAATGCAGATAAACCGTAATTACCTCACATATGCTTTTGCAGCTTCAATCCAAACCTTGCCAAAAAGGTATACAGTACCTGTAGGATAGAGAATTCAAAACTTACAGTGAAGCTAGTGATGTTCTTAATAATTCAACTGTCAAGGAACCTTGATTAACTCTACCTGGTTGTTTGAATCTGTCCTCATAAGCATCAAACCAGTAGAATTTAAGGAATTTTTCCCCTAAGAGGAGAAAGAAAAGATGATCTTTGTAAGAACATGGAATGAGCAACAGATTTAGTACTTCAAAATTTGGCCAGAACTGGCATCACTAATCAAACATCCTTGCAAGGTTCCCTTAAGTTCCTTTCTGTGTCTCTTTTATATGTTGGTCTTTATCAAGCCTTTCTATCAAAATGTTAGCTCTAGCAGAGATTTTTGCAATTCTTTGGATGAAATCCCATGACTGTTCAACCTCTTAACCCTTTAGGCCCTAAGAGTGACCAGCATCAAATTTCTCCTTGTAATATCACTGCTTTATAAAACACAGTGGTCATGAGAATTAAGGATATGATCACACAAGATGAATCTAATTGATACTTGAACAAATTCTCCCCACTACTTCTATTGAAAACGTATAGGGATAACAAAAGAGAATTTGAATTTTGATGTTAGGGTTTAAAGGGTTTAGCAGTACTTTTACTTAGGGTTGCTAGTTTTTCATCTTTTTGGAAAGTGAAATGTCAGGAGTCTTCTTGAATTTATATTTTGCCCATCTTGAGAGCATAACTGGAGGAGGCCTACATTTTCACTTTTCAATAATTTCAACCTTGAAACTTGTTGATTGCTGATATGTTTACTAACCATCTACTTCTTTGAGTGGAAGAGAAGACGAATCCACATTAACATCCATCAAAACCTACAGCAGCACAATTGAAAAGAGAAAAAAAATACAATGTAAGCAGTTAAAACCCTGTTAATATGGATACTGAGGGGGCCATAGAAAGTGACTGTATTAACAGGTTGAAATGAGAAAAAATGTAAGGGCTTTCATTCCCCAGGGGCAAAACAAACTGTCTGTAATAACAAGGTGTCCACATTAAGCGGGCGTCCATTATGGAGGGTTTGACTGTAAGCAACTTAAACGAAATTTGTTTAAAACAAACAGGAACCAAATTAAAGCTACACCATACTTTTCTTAGTCTCCCTCGCAGCCGTTTTTTGGATGTCACACAATGCTCCCCTAAAAGTTCTTTTGGGGGAGCATTGCGTGACATCCAAAAAACGGCTGCGAGGGATACTATACTTTTCTCTGTGTTGTGATGAAGTGGTACACAGAGGTATTTCTCATTCCAGAGAAAGAGATATGATGTTATTTTTATATAATTCAAAAAAGACGCTTGACTTCTTGTACAATGAAAGGCAGGGAGGTGACTAAGAACAAAACACATTTGCAAGAATCTTTTGACACTTTTATCCTCTTGTTGTTGTGAATCTTCATTTCCTAAGATAGTTTCCCATCCTGAATCACCAGGAAGTTCTGTTGTTCTGCAAAGATCCATGTACTTATTATTACTAAATTAAATTTTTTCGTGATATCAGTATATTTTGAGGGCTAAACTGCAGAACAAGCATAATTTTTCTACATTTTTTAGGCAAGGAAAGGTAAGGGTGAGGCAGGTGTGGAAAGCGAAGCCTTCCCCCGTCACATATGTGTCTTGTCTTTTCTTCTTTTTGTGACAAACTTATCTATTAACAATGTGATGATCTTAACTGTAGTTTATCAAGTATTGTAAACTAACTTTCTATAACTCAAGCTCTAACGTCTAAGCTCTAACTATTTATAATGTTATGGAAAATTAAAATGAAATGAAAATGAAAAATGAAAATGCCTGTCTCACCTGCCTTCACTTGTCTGATGTAATTCAAATTATTTAACTTTATTACAGATAATTAACTAAAAGGAAATCATTATTATTCAGCAAACTGTGAATATCCAAAAATGCCCAGCAGTGCAGTGGACAGTAGTTTTGTCTGACTGTGCCCAACACACAAGACAACAACCCCTAAATGAGCCAGTTATTTCCTGAAAGAGGCCATGAAAACCAAATGGTAAAAAGGTATCAGCTCAACTAGCTGTAACATAATCATTTCTTTGTTCAACAAAAATTATTTGCTGACAAGATCCAGCAAGTTCCAGTGATTTTGCTTCAAAATTCATGTGACCACACCCTTCCCTTGACTTCAAAATGCAAACATGACAATAAATTATTAACTCTAGCCCTAACGAGGGTAAAAAGTCATATGATAATAAAATGTTATTATTTCTCAGAAATATTTAAATTGTTTAGTGATGTCAATGAATTTCAAAATAAATTATAATCATAATAGAATTGCATACTTCTGTGGCATAGCACATCTTCTGTCATTTGGCTTCTCATTAGCCTCAACCTGAGAGGATAATGGAAAGTATATGGAGTAAGATTATTCCTGATAGTCAACAGTAGCTTTCTCAAAAATAATAATGTTGAATAGAAGGAGAAGTGAGTCAAGAGATGAACAAAGTTTCATTGTAAAATAAAGGTGGTCTTGAAAAGACTGAGAAGAATTTTTAATTTTACAATTTCTTGGAAAACATGAATTCAGTAACTTAAAAGGTTTTTTGGTTTAAGTCGAAACTAAATTGTAGGAAAACAAAGGCTGCTTAAGCCTGAATCAGCTTCTTAGACTACTTCGTTGGAACAGCTTGGTCCTACAAAACAAGGCTAACCTGGTATTGAAACAATATTGAATCCATATAGTAAATCAATGTAGAATTGATATAGTAGGGGACCTTGATGAATAACCTGGTATTGAATCAATATTGAATCAATATAGTAAAATACCTTGACGTGAGGTTTTACATCATGATTCTTTTCTACATTTGATAAAGCCTGGATAGCTTCTGCATCACCAAGATCATCATCAAAGTCAGCAGTATACTCTGGCATGTCATCATATGCGGCAGGAACATCTAGCAGATATTTTTCTGTTATTTACATGTGTATGCATGACTACACTTAATATGACAACTCAAAAAAAGTTATTAGTATTGGCTGCTGACATATCAGCCAATACTATGGTCAATATATTGGTTGACCATCTGTTGACATGTCATGGGTAATATGACATAAGTTATATTCAATTATCAGACAGGTCAAAATAATGGCGGATGCACGACAGACACTCAATCAACATATTGGATGACATACCAGTTGACATGAGCATCACCAAATGACAATTACATCAGCTAATTGTCAGTCCATATCTAAATAACATCTCTATGTTGGCTACAAGTCCAAAGAATAAGAGCAGAGAGTGTCAACCAATACTCGGCCAAATTGTGCCAAAAGTACACAAGATCCAATTTTACTTGCCAAGAGCAGTTTCATGGTTGTCTTAGTTTCATTATGCAATGAGGACTTGACTGGGCTGCCCATGAGGTAAGTCAACAAGGAAAGTTACTTAACTAGCATGACTAATTTCCAGCCCTGCGAGTGTACACTTAGCCTTAATGATCTGATGACGAAATTCTGTCTTTTCTACCTTCCATCCCTGTATCCATATCTGTCATTTCAAGTTTTTCCTCTTTGATTTTTTCTCCAACCAAGCCACGATACTTTCTTTCTGTTCTGTCACATGGCTCAGTTTTTACAGCTGCCGCTGATCTTATCTTTGCTGTAATGTGACTGGGTTTTGGTGGAGATGTGGGCTCCTCTTTGAAAAGGGGTACTCTTGGGTTAAATGATTCCTGTTGAATGAATTTATTAGCAAAATCACTGGAGGGTGTAATACAGTGAACTTTCTATAAACTTCAGCACTCTGCTTTCAAATGTTATCTGCCTTGCAGAGGGCTTAGGTACGTATGGATAATTAGCGTGAGAAGTAGAAACTGTGCCATTCATCTTATAAGAGACCTTGGAGGTTGTGGGAAGCAGGGGGAAAGGTTTTCATGTCAAACTAAAAAGTATAAACAGAACAAGATGCTTTCGGTCATTATAGGTATAAAGCCAGAACATTTCCCATATTTATTTTCTTCAAAACCAGGTATTACCTGAAGCCTTCTGGGAGTGTAATGATTTGAAGAAGATGTTGGAGTTCTTAAAATGAAAAAAAACAAAGCATCATTAATCTTTAATCTTTTAGAACAGCAAGATAAATCCGCTTTCAAAAGAGCTATTGCATGATAATCATATGCTAGGTGGGATCATTCCCAAAGATAAAGAATTAGTATATACTTTGCGTAGGTGAAGGTGTCACCTTCCTCAGATAAAAACGGAGAGATACAAGAAAACTTTTGTAAATAGACTTATTTTTAAATATAATTTAGTATAGTAATATTCTATCTTATATTACTATTGTATTTTATCGTGTATCTTTTAATACTTTTTCACTGTAACTTAGGATATGTATTTTTATCCTTTGATTGAATAAAGACTATTACTATTATTATTCATTAACCTAAATAAAGGACTTTGAAGGACTGTCACTACGGGTTGGAGGCTGGGAATTTCCCCTGGCCAGTTTTTTCATTAAGAATTCTAGTAGCAGGAGAAAGGTGTAACATTACAGGAGAATATTTTGAAAGAGGCTCCACATCTGAATAAAAACTTGTCATAGGCTACCGAATGTTAGCCGGAGAATTCTGCGTAGGAAACGGAGAATTCTCCAATCTCCGATACCTAAAAAAAACCCTGCCTGACTACTATAAGCTTGACCCTGCCCTTACAAAAATGATCATATCTTATTGCTAGTTTATTGCTATCTTAAAACTAGTTTCAACTATCTAAAATCAACTATCTAAACTATCAAACTATCAACTATCTAAAAACTTGTCATAGGCTACCGAATGTTAGCCGGAGAATTCTGCGTAGGAAACGGAGAATTCTCCAATCTCCGATACCTAAAAAAAACCCTGCCTGACTACTATAAGCTTGACCCTGCAGGGCTACTTTTATAGGAAACAAGAGAAAAATAAAACCAAAAAAAAACTCCCGAGCAGTTCATTTTCCCCCACCCTCACATTGCATATACCTAACACCTTAAAATCTTAGCAACAGCCCTGACTTTGAGGACTCTGAGTTTAAAAGCAAAAAACTATTACCATAACAATAAAAATCAACAAAATTGATTTATCCTTTTACTAGACATGATTCTTAATCTAATTTTCTGCTCAGCTTACTGTCATACCAAAACGACTGAGATCTGTGTTCTCACTGCCTCTTAAATCAATATACTTTAACTTTAACTCAGACAATTATTCTATTTTTTCTGTACCAATAACTAATGTTTACAATACCTTAACACTTGGCCCTTGCCCTTTGACATTTTTACTGGAGCTGGTCTTGGATGCTTAATATGTCAAAAATAACAAAAACAACCATTAAAACTGTGACAAAAGATGGATCGAAACACACCAATCACATTTTAGAGTCTTCAAAGCAGATCACAGCTTAACTGAATGACAGAAAACCAATAGCATCGTGACCTAATTGACCAATCAGGTCAATGAACAGAGTTTAATAACATCAGTTGATGTGAGACAACGATTTCTGTTTGTGTCCATCAACGCGTTCGTGAAGGTGGCCGCGAGTATAACCAACATATCCTAGAACAGAGATCGTCGTCAATTTGTTAACATTATCTTAACGAACATAACTCGGACATACCACCTTTTCTCTCAGAACAATTTCACGTGCTCACTAAAGGTTCTAACAAATTTGATTGCCTAATTAAAGAGATGCTCTTTATAAGAAAACTCAAATCATCCCTAAACGTGCAGGCGGACTCGATTCGCGCAAAGGTATTCACTTGAAGAACTTGTGATCCTTTGTTATTATGCTAATTTGCAGAGACTATAGAAATCAAATCTTCGCATTACTTATTCATTTTGCTTTGAGAATGGTGTCATGATGATACCGAAACGTCGGCTTTTAATGTTAATATTCGCTTGCTTATGTTTTAAGAAATCATTATTGATCAAGAAAATAAGTGAAGGGTACCATTTATCAAAAAACGGTATATGAAAGGGGTACCTTTTCTGTCCAAAATGGTATATAAAAGGGTAAGGGGTTGGACCATGTTACAGACTCCGTCACCCCCCTCCCCCCCACCCCTGTATAAAATTTTGCTCAGTTCTTCTCCTATGGGCGGCCATTATCACCAAAAATACAATCATGTCAAATAGCACAGACAAAATACAAATGGTCTAGTGATGAATTACGAAATGGTTCAAATAATAAAGGAATGATCATTCTTAAAATAAAATAGTCTGGTTGTTTTGTGTGAAATGGTTCACCTAAACTACAAACGATTTGGTCAGATGAGAATTAGGCTGTTTACTGGTACAGCTGTAGATGTTAAAACAATACCGCCAAACAAGAATCACTACGAGCCTCAGCGCTCCGGAAGTTAAAAAATTCGTACCGTCTGGTTGCTATGAAGTGACGTCATCATCCCGTTGAGTATCCATCACCGTAACACTTTTGCGGTCAACTACCGCAGCGCTCGTAAAGTACTTTAATTAAAACCGTGTGCAAAACCCTGTAGGAAGTCTGTTTATTTTTGAGTCGATTAATGCACTGCTGACTTCCACGAGGTCAACTTTTGCATAAATTATCAAACATTATGTTAAGCGGGAAATCTACCTATGGTTCGCGGGAGAAGCAACTTCTATAGCGGCGCAAGACAAATGTTTCGAGAGTCGAGGATGTGCTCACAAACTATTCACTATGCGGCGAAAGGAGATATCACTGGCATGATACCTGCATGTAATGGTAATTTTTATCAATCCAGGTCGCGCCGTGTTCGCTCGAGAATGCTGTGACAACTTCGTTTGGCGGGCTTCTCAATACTTCCAAAACATGTTGTAATCGGTAAGTAGACTTAAGCACTTAGTATCGCCAAGCCATTCGAATCAGTGTATACCCAATTCTTTGTCTGAAGATTCGCGCAAACACATATACCAAGTACATCTGGATAGAAGAGGAAATTGTCTCCCTAAACGCAGCCAGGTTATATTTTGAAGGATGGCGGCACAATTCAACGCGTCTTACAGGTCAGCCCTAATTTATAGTTCGTAAGAGTATAAATGGCGATCTCCCTATTTTCGCTTAAGCTTTCTTTGATAAAACTTCAGTAGAAACAAAACAACGCAGACATGACATTCTCCTGCATGAGACACAGTCGGCTGAAGGAAATATCTGTTTACAAGTCGGGTAAATTGTCCATTCTTGCGCACCGCAAAATCAGCTAAAATCAGTCGCTGGAAACCTGGCATATTATTAAGCCTGAGCGCTTCTAAGAATAACACGTTTAGAACTTCGACTAGTAGAAAAAAAAGGCAGTTGTTCTATATCCTTTCTGGTTCATCCAGGTAGAAGTCCTGGGATATTATTATGCCTGAGCGCTTCTAGGATATATAACACGTTTAGCATTTCAACCCGTAGCCGTAAAAAACAATTAGGTAGTTGTTCTATATCCTTTCTGGTTCATCCAGGTAGAAGTCCTGGCATGATATCATTATGCCTGAGCGCTTCTAGGATATATAACACGTTTAGCATTTCGACCCGTAGCCGTAAAAAAAAATTTAGGCAGTTGTTCTATATCCTTTCTGGTTCATCCAGGTAGAAGTCCTGGCATGATATCATTATGCCTGAGCGCTTCTAGGATATATAACACGTTTAGCATTTCGACCCATAGCCGTAAAAAAAAATTTAGGCAGTTGTTCTATATCCTTTCTGGTTCATCCAGGTAGAAGTCCTGGCATGATATCATTATGCCTGAGCGCTTCTAGGATATATAACACGTTTAGCATTTCGACCCGTAGCCGTAAAAAAAAATTTAGGCAGTTTTTCTATATCCTTTCTGGTTCATCCAGGTAGAAGTCCTGGCATGATATCATTATGCCTGAGCGCTTCTAGGATATATAACACGTTTAGAATTCAACCCGTAGCCGTAAAAAAAAATTTAGGCAGTTGTTCTATATCCTTTCTGGTTCATCCAGGTAGAAGTCCTGGCATGATATCATTATGCCTGAGCGCTTCTAGGATATATAACACGTTTAGCATTTCGACCCGTAGCCGTAAAAAAAATTTAGGCAGTTGTTCTATATCCTTTCTGGTTCATCCAGGTAGAAGTCCTGGCATGATATCATTATGCCTGAGCGCTTCTAGGATATATAACACGTTTAGCATTTCAACCCGTAGCCGTAAAAAAAAATTTAGGCAGTTGTTCTATATCCTTTCTGGTTCATCCAGGTAGAAGTCCTGGCATGTTATTATTATGCCTGAGCGCTTCTAGGATATATAACACGTTTAGCATTTCAACCCGTAAACGTAAAAAAAAAATTAGGCAGTTGTTCTATATCCTTTCTGGTTCATCCAGGTAGAAGTCCTGGCATATTATTATGCCTGAGCGCTTCTAGGATATATAACACGTTTAGCATTTCGACCCGTAGCCGTAAAAAGAAAAAAAATAGGTAGTTGTTCTATATCCTTTCTGGTTCATCCAGGTAGAAGTCCTGGCATATTATTATGCCTGAGCGCTTCTGGGATATATAGTAGCAGTTTGACCCTTAGAAAAAACAAACTCAGCCGTTCATTTTGTAGGAGATATTTAAGCGTTTTTGTCTGTGTTAGCAATGTGATCGACTTTATACGCAGACCTTAATAATATGTTTTTTTCTTTGACGGCACTGAATAATTTTAGCCGAAACTTGAGACGTACATTTGTTGAATGCCGCGCTTTAATTAAATTTCTCGCCCTAGAATGATGACATGATGGCGCGAAAATTGACGCCTCTATCGTATTAGATGCGAAATATGATCAGAGATAAATGGAATAGTGAATGTTACAAGCTTCTGAGTATCCAGCTGAGATAGGGGACTTTTAGTCCCCTATCTCAGCTTGATAAACAAAATTTTTTTGGTTGCTAAGACGGTGCGGCTCGTTATGGGTTTGTTTAAATTATAATCCATTCATATACCATGTGCAAAATGATTGAGCTTGATAACGAATGGTCGGCTTCTCTGTTCGAGATGGTTTGAGTAAAGTAAGAAGTCATCCAAACATTTACAAGTCGTTTGATGCATACGCAAATAATTCAATGTGATGTCGAATGATTGTCAAATGACTGTATAAATAAAGTTATCCTATCTATCCTTCTATCTGAGGGCTGGTCGTTCATTTGATGTGAAGGGGGGGGGGTAGCTATTTTGAGAAAGCTGAGATTATTTTAAAGCTCCCCCCCACCAAATTCATCCTAGCTTTTTAGAAATGACCCCAACTCATTCTCTCTTGCCCCCCATAAATGTTACATTTTGTGAATGTGACTCCCCCCCCCCCTCCCCCGCATATTCTAGCTATAAATCGTGCTGAGGTTCACTGTGTAGTACCTTTTCAAATAAAATGATGACAGACAAATCCTGCTGTTTTATCCAAGACAAAAATATAGACATAAATAACAAAACAGCAAAGAGAAAAGCAACTTGAGGTTTCCTGATATTTCGGAAGTCGTGTGTGAGATTGACCTGCACTTGTGACCATGACGTGTATTCTGTACCTGCCAAATTTCATGTTTCACCTTAATTTGTACCAGATCTGCTGGATTTACTTGATGATTTAAGCCATAAACTTAATCCTTTACCATAGTCTTAAATTTAAACTTAAGTTTAACTTAAGCTACTTAAACATAAGCTTACCTCCTGTTACCTCACAAGACCCGCACCAGATTTTTCAAGACTTCCCCCATGACACGTGCGAGAATTTTTAGTTCATCAATAAAGTCAAGTGTTGACGAGTAAGTAAAAGAACTGCTGAAGCTCAAATCCGAGTTCCAGAGGTCTAATTATGTTACTTTTGATCTAATTTACACACGCGTTCTGTATGGTCAATACTTCGTCGCCATATTGGTTTCGTTTCGTTTCGTTTCGAACCCAGTCTCTCGATTGGCGCGTGCGTCTCGAGAGCGGGCTTTCGCAGTACTCGTAAAACGCGCTCAATGGTCCTCAATAGAGTCAGGAGAAAAATGGTTTTCATGCCTATTACTTGTCCATGAACTTTCGCGATTTATGGGTGAGGTAAATAGTAAATATTACTTCTAACAGTGACAAGTACTCTGAACTGAGTAATGAAACCAGCACAGTGTGGAATGGGAGTGCTGAAACCCATCTGAGATTATGGAACGCAAAATATGGTTCGCGCATGCCCAGGAATCGAATCACGATCTTTAATGTGAAAGTAATCCACGACCCTTGCAATTGTGAGCCTTTAAGTAAAATAGGCAGGCTATCTCTCATTAGCATTGAATTGAACGTATTCCAGGAGCTAGAGTCCGCGGTTCATTCAGTCAGACGGCTAAACCATGATGATTGGTTTGTCGCTGTGGACTTGCTGATATTTCATATTTTGATGATCCCTAATAAGGACGCCCTTGGGTCGAGACCGGGTGATATCTTTGCCCATGGTTAGGTACTGGCCAGGGAAAGCAACTAGATACCTTCTGACCTTTTCCAGTAACGGGGTAGTTCCATCAAAATAATTGTACCATTGCGTGTGATACACGCGCGTTATTTTGATGAGGGCGCCGCGCAAAGAATAAACAAACAAAATAGTATTGGAAATTACCTTCATGAGAGGTGAATAAATTCCATTTTCCGCATTATTTTCAGGAGAACCTTAAGCAGCGACGTTTTTGACCGACGCACGTCAACCGGAAGTGGACTTTTTGCACTCTTGAGCCGTGATTTTGAACAAATTTGGGGGAAAATCGTTTGTTTAAGAGTAAAAACACTTAGCAATTCAAATTTGGTGGTGCCAAGGCCGCATTAAAAAGAAAAAGGCCTACTTCTGGTTGACAAACGTCGCTCAAAAACGTCGCTGCTTAAACACCCTATTAACTTCGAATGTGATGACTATGAATGGGACTCCGATTATGGTAATCACCGGAGTGAGATTGTTATTGTTTTTGATTTGTATGAAGGACACAGGAGCGTGATTTTTGAATAAAAATTCAGGGAAATATAGTGACGTTCATCCCTAAAGGTTTGACAACCAGGTGTAAAAAGAGTACAAAGCGACATATTGAGTTAGGAGAACTGCCCCTGCTGAACCCCAGCCGTAGTTTCATGAAGACAAGATGTAAAAAGCCCAGTTTCTCTAATACGCTTTTCTCTAATATGTTTGCACATCTCGTTTTCCTTACTTTCTGAAAAATATTGAAGGGTTTTTCTCTCCTCTCTACCATTACTGTGGCCTGGCACCGGGAGGCTGAGCCCGCATTACAAGGAACTAAGATGTGGAGAGGGTGTAGATTAAGAAACCATTGATTGACTATAGTTTTATCTCTTACATAAAACAGGCAAATATTGAGAATCACTTTCATTTCATTAATAAGCAATGTAGGATGTATATTTACAGACTGAAGTAATAAAAAATACCAGCAAGTAATGGAAACATTTGACTGAAAACAGGCAAACCAACCAATTAATCCTCTAACCATCATAGCGACGATTAGCTAGAGACGGTTCTATCTCCGGCACACATGTTTCGTACAACTTTAGACAGACACATTTCCAAGGACTTTTTAAGCATTTTTCAAAGACAAATTTCAGTTTTCGAAAACGAAGATTTATTTAATAAATCGACATTGTTTAATCGTCTCCGATCACCCTATTGGCAAAAACACGTCATGGAACCATTTACCTATTTTACTTCTTCGGCCATGATGGATCACGATATTTTTACTACTTTTCCGCAACGAGGCTTTGCAAAATGACGGTGTATGACTCAGTTGCAATTGCATCTGAGGTACAGAAATAGCATTTGAAATAAAGAAACAGAAATAAAATATTGTTCATGCACAAAATGTCTTTACGTTACCCGTGAGTTTTACAGGTTCTTACACCGAGGATGAGCCAAATGTTCCTCGACAAAATAATCTAATTTAACAGAAAAAAGTTCTCTGGCGTAGACAAGGTTGTGAATTTCAAGGACTTTTCAAGACAAGACCTAATAAAGAAATCAGTACTTTTTAACGACCTAAACCGAATTCAAGGACTTCAAGACGACTAGTAAAATTCAAGACGTTTTCAAGATTGTACGAACCATAGGCACAGAAACAGACTTCATTCATTATTTCACTACGATACCCGTCATCTTTGCACGGCCTCTTTGCACGCGCTTTACTGCCATGAGGATTGATCGGATAACAGCAGAGTCACGTAGCATTTCAGGAGGTAAAACGGTCGAGTTTGTTTTTGTCAGCAGCACTATGTCTGTAACACTAGGTTGAAAATTTAACACAAACCTGATCGTGAAGGGTCTAAAGAAAATGAAGCGGACGACGGGAAGGGTTCCTTCACAGGATTCTTGACTGTGAAATAGAGCCTGAGGACATGGTTGAAATGGAATCCCCAATATTACTGCTGTGAACCGTGTCTAAAAAAGACGAATCAAATCATATCGTTGATTTTGAGCTGACAAGCGCTTGTCACGGACTGACTCGCTAAGAAACACGCAATCTTTATAAGTACGAGAGTAGTCCGACTCCCCCTAGAGAGGGGAGCGGGGGAAGTCCCATATTTTGCATACCTTTTATTTGGTTTATTTTTTTCTTGACTTTAGAAGCGGCTCTTTAGCTATATTTCAGTCATAAAGGCTGGTAAATATTCGTATACAGGCAACGGACTACTTTCCTAAAATCTTCAGAAGTCGTTACGTAGCGTGAATTCGTTAATCTGACCCTATCTCTGTTTTCCGATTGCAGATAAATCATATTTATTGATTCACTAATGATATTTCAGGGTTTGGTTTTGTAGCTTTTTTGCCTCATTTTTGTTATCAAGGGTAATCCGGGGGGAGGGGGGTTCCGGCCCGTGAGAGGGGCGTTCCAGGGTATTCCAGGGTGTCCTAAGGGTGTTGCAGACCTCTTCCTGGTTTTACAGATACCCATTGTACTCTGAGCCTACCAGTTTACTACATTTTGTCTTACAATGTAAAACCGTATGGTAGCAGTTAATCTCGTGACTAAACTGTACATACAAAAGTCATGCACAGTTTTCAGTACTGTTTTATTCACAATGGTATCATATAGTGCAGTTCTAATCTGTACATCAATAAATAGTAATGAATATAAAATGCTGTTGGTTTCATTAGAAATTTACTACTGGTTGATATTGGCACTTTGTAAGCTCCACATACAAGTCTGTCTTGCCAAACTCAATTTCCAAGCAGGCTAAGAAATTAACCAAAGTACATGTGATCACTAATAACATGATGTGTTTTCTTTAGATTAATTACCATAACACCAATACCAGTGTCAGCCAGTTCTATCCACATTTATTTCAGTAAATAAAAATAGACTTGCAAACCTAACTTCAACAACTATGACACAATCTTCTTGCCCTCAACAATAACATTGATAACATTTGTACCGGTAACACAAAATTACAGAAGGCTATATGAGGAAATTAATAAAAGTGAAATGGGTTAATTCTACATTGCATGACTGAAACTTTTCACTTGACATGGGACAACAAATATACAATGGTGCAAATGTTTTAGTCATCAAAGCTCATAGTCTGTGCCTCTTCACCACTAAGTGTCATGTGCTCTGTAGTAGCTGCCACACCCCCAGTATAAGGATTGCCACTACCACTATCCAGTCGCAGGTCACTTGACAGTTGGTTGTCTTTGGCAAGTTGTTTAAAATGCTGGTGTAGGGAAAAAAAGGTGCAAACAAAATAAATTTGAATCTGAAGTCATAGAAAAGTAAGGCTTGACTGGCACTGAAATCTTGAACAATGTAAAATTTAATTAATTATATAATTAATAGGAGTTTACGGATTGCTTTTATACCTGTGAGTTCTTGAATTCTGAGAATAGTGTGAACAGCACATGAAGGGCATGGATTCTGTTGTTATGTACAGGAATGCCGAGAATACCTGTCAAAAAGGATTTAAATGAGAACCAGTTCAGTTGAACATTAACCTTTGTCTACTGGCTTCTTATCTAAAGTAATTGATACGAGATCTTAGTCTTGATGTTTCTTAAAATGAATGACATTGTATTCCTAATTTATACGTCTATTTAATAATGGTGGCTTAATGTTTTATTATTCACTTGGACAGTTGATTCAAGTTTTTCACATCACAAAACCACCTGCACCAACACGTGCTACACGTGTTTTTAACTACCTATGCAATCCTTGAGGTGGGAATACTCATTGAAACCCTTGCCCTATTTCAGAAAAAACGTTTCTGGTTTCCCCTTACCCTAATTTCGACCTAAACTGCTGTTTTCAATACATACTGAGTTAAAGACCCTGGTTCCAGAGAGCACTTTAAGACTTGCCCTATTTCAGTTTAAAATGGTTAAAATCTATACTTCATTTCAGATTTGGGGGAAGTCTTGTATGAAAACGACGGAAATGGTCGTCCAAAAATGATATTAGAGTTAAGCCATATTAGAGGGTCACCAATGTGGGTGTAGGTAAGATTTTATTTATTGTAAACTATAGAGGAGACCATATTCCAACAATAATATTATTATAATGTCATTTGTTACTTTTAAGAATTTCTTTTCATGAACAACCTAAAGTGATACCTCCATGGGTAAAAAAAAAAACCCATACCCTTTAGCACTGGCCATTACATAGGATAATGCACCCCTTGCCCACTAGCCCTGGTCTGGATAACTGATACAAGTAGCTTTGTATCCTAATGTGTAATAGCTGCAATCAGTGATAAAATGAGTTGAGACACTTCGCCCTTAAGGGGCTTTTTGACATTTTACTGACTTCAGAAAAAGGAGATATAGCTTTTCCTCCCCCATCCCCTCCATACAATGTTGTGCCACTGTTCGAGCTACCTTTAGAAAACGACAAACACCCCAACTTTGAATGGAAGGAACAGGGGAGGGATGTAGACTCTTTTCTTCTCTGAAGTTACCCTATTTGAGTACAATGTTTCAGTCAACAATTTTGTCACCGGTTGTACACTAAGGCACCCCAATCCCTAGTATTACTTGAATGAATGATTAAAACTTACCACAGACCAAGTCAACATATTGTTTTAAATCAACATCCAGATCAGCTGTTGGAAGCCCAACCTAAAAAGAACTTCAGTTTAGCTTTTAACCCTGGATGGGATTTGCATCATGCATGTTTCTTCTGCTTATTCTTACGTAAGCTCGGATTCCTTTGTTCTTTTCGGGGGGAATATATTACATAACCCCCGAATCAACTGTCTGAAAAGCTGGGTGCGGCATTGATTGTTTGAAGGAAAGAGCGGGGCTAATGAAAAGCTAATTAAAATGCGAGGGGATTATGTATTAATATGCAAGGGGGATAAGTCACTTATCCCCCTTGCATATTATGATATTAATACATAATCCCCTCGCATTTTAATTAGCTTTTCGTAAAGAAAAAAAATCACAAATGTTTATTGGAAATATTAAACACGACGCTATAATTACTAAAATTAAACTTAGCCGCGTTTCTTTTGCGCCACATTCACGGATTTTCTTAGTTGTTGGTTCATCGATTTTCACAGCCAGAACGACAGTTCGAAATTGAACAGCGTCTTTTCTACGGTTCCATGAAAGTGTCGCTGTCATGGTAAGGTGTTCCGTTCTTTAACCAGTCATCCCAAACTAGTGTACTCTATGAAGACATGTAGTTGACCTCTTCGTGTTTTGAGGTATTCTTGCTTCATTCCTCGACTGAATTTCCTTGTGAGTTACAGTAGTGATCCCTCGCCCGGAATCTTCTTTGTATGTAAACATGCAGGTCGGTCGAAAGATCCTCGGTGCGAAAATTGAAATTGTCAACTGCTTGTTCGTTTTCTGCACCCGCAAACTGAACATTCAAATTGTTTTCCGAAAGCTCTTACAGTACCGCCACTGAAGCTGCTTTAGTTTGAGTAATAAACGGCTCTACTTCTGGCTCTGAATCGCTCGACACTGCTAGGCTCTTTAGGCTGTTTCTAGCATTCACTGCGAACAACTAATTTGACATGCGACTTTCAAAAACTAACATAATTAAAAAGCTAAGAAACTTGTGAATGCCACCAGTGCCAGCATGTAACGGTTATCGGCCTGAAGTGAGGGGTTATGTGATTTATTCCTCTCGGGCAACGCACGAGGGGAATAAATCACATATCCCCTCGCTTCAGGCCGATAACCCTTACATAAAGTCATTTTCCCCAGCAGATTGTAAAGAAATCTTGCTAAAGGACAAAGTTACTAAATACCTTATTCAAAAGTTCTTCAAATTCCTCTGGCCACTCTTGCATAAGAAATTCAATATCTGGCATGTTTCTGTTAAAATAAGAAAGAAAAGACCATGTCTAAGCTCATCCTCGCAGACCAAGGGGCAGCTAGTTGGGACGATAGGATGTTTGTGGTGAAAGTTTATTGTTATGGTAAACTTTCACCATGAACATTCTATCGTCCTGACTAGCTGCCCCTGGGTCTCTGAGGATGGTCTAAGCCCTATTATGGGCGTATACTTTATTTAGCAACCTCGCCGAATTTATTAGCTAAAAATGATTTGCATATACTCTTCCCTTACTTTTTTAAGAGAAAGCATTTAACCTACAAAGGGTTCCAGAACCACACAAAGAATTTTTTGAAGTGAACGGAAAGAGTTTTTTAGGCCACAAGGCAGACAAGCAAAGTGGTGATATTAGACAGGATGAAGAACTTTTCAAGAACTTTAGGCCCACTTGTAGATACTCATAGATGTAAAATGCTCTGTTAACATGCACTTGTTCAATACTATGCACTCATTCCTGCACACACACATGTATCTGAGCTGACAAGTTTACAAAGACAGTCTCCTTTAAAATGCAGAAATCCAGTGGTAGTCCTGGAGACTAGTTTGTGAAAAATGCAGATGTCTTTCTGGTTGTCCCTTCTCTTCACCCAAGCTGAGAGAAGTTAATAATTAACCACCACATAACACACACAGTTTCATTTTCCCAAATACCTTTTCAACCCAGTGTTTCTTAATTCAAGTCAAGTAAAATGAAGTGCAATGATAACACTAATCTTAAACAAAATCTCTGCTTTTAGTTAGGAACTCCTCACCTCTGATAATGAACTGCAGGAGAAGGTTTTTGTTGATGAAGTTCTCTGCAAACAAGTCAAAAATTAATATGCAGTGTACAAACTACAACGGTTATGTGTCACCTGTGAAAACTACCATTGATGATTATTTGTCTTTGTAATAATTACATGTAGTACATTATTTCATTAAAATAAAGGTCAGACAATTTATAAACTATGCAAGTTTAAGCTACAATTTATAATAACATTTTATAATAATGTTTGTAATTTAAGTATTGCCGTGTAAGTGTGTAAATTCGCAATTTTTTTTTCTTTTTATTCATTTCTTTATTCCGCGTAATTTTTTGTTTTGTTTTTTACTTGCAATTAAAAAAAAATATAATAATAATAATAATAATAATAATAACAATATTTCTATTAATTATCAAGTACCTAGGCACTTGGGTAATTATTACAAAATGCAGGATTGACCTTTATTGTTTTCACATGGTAATCAATGTATGTGGATAGATTAGTATTAACATATATGATCACACCTGATACTGTCAATCCAGTTGTCCACAGCTTTAGGGTTCTTTTCCGGGTCTTCAATGCTGCGTACTGTCTGTAATATGAACAGATACATTTTGCACATATTATAATAATGAATGAGAAATTATTTCCAGGAGTTTGCCAATAACTTTTCCTGTTACTGTTAACAAAATATCATTTAATATTATTTATTTAATATTAATTTACATACCATAGCTTTCACATTTGTCTGCTTTGAGATGGTTCTGATTGTCATATCCAGAACTAAAAGGAAAGGGGTATTATATATAAATACTTTCAACATGTTGCTAAAAAGTGCGACTGCACCTTCTACATTATATTCCAAGGCACCACAAGAGTTGTATTCCTCTTCACCTCACAGGAAGGGATAAAATGCCTGCATGGGAGGCGAAACTGTGTGTGTCCCATAGCCTTGGGCTAGTGGCTTTAATGACTAGGCTACAGGAATTCAAAGATTAGTTTAGATTGCTCAAAATTTCTTAATGCTTTGATTCCAGCTAAACCAGGCATTGTCAAAACATTTTCAGCTTGATTTACACAAACATCACGATTCCCTATTTGCTATACAACGTATCCGTCAGAAAAATGGTTCGCAACGTATTCTGAACTGGCTCTGAGTACAATTATGCACAATTTCATTGTTTAGATCTTGACTTGTGATTAGCTAATTTCAAAATTTGTCCCAGAATTTTGTCCGGGTGGCCTTTGTTTGTGTATAGCCGCACTGTAATTAATTATTGTTAATATTGCTTGTCAGAATTAAATTTTGTTTTTGGGCTAGTATATGTGAAACTGACTTTCATTGCAACCTGAAATCAACGGAAATTTACAAGAGTGAGTGCTTCAAGTGAGTCGAGATAATGCAAGTAGGGTTTGAGTTTGCTTTGTAACCAACACTTTTGTTGATGGTGTTATTGTGAATGTATCGCTGGCGCATGAATAGCCTCTGCTTTCTCACAGTACCTGTGGGATCTGATTGCTTTGCAATAGGCTCGTCCAGTACAACCAACCCTAAAGTCTCAGGTTTACCATCTGGACGAGTTACCTGACAAAGTGATAAACAAAACACCATCATTAGATAATACTTTATATGTTATTGATATCTCATTTTTGTGGGAATATTCAGTGAAGGGTTTCTGAGTGGGGTATTTTCCAAATGGGACCTTGTATCTGCAGCAACTGATGAGTGAAGGTTTAAGGCTACTACATGTATGTAAAAACAAAAAAAAAAATTGATTTTAACTTCTTCAATTCTACCATATGAAAAAACACTTATACCTTCAAGAATGCATCAATGTCTCCAACAGCAGGAATAAAATCTCGATTAAATGGCTTTAGCTTGTGCTCCACATCAATTGTTTGAGGTGTATACCTTAGGAGTGATAGAAGAACACAGATGATGCAAATTATAATCCACATAGAAATCACTGGAGAGCCTTCTCTGTATAAATATGTGTGGAGGTTCCAGTTAACTTTTCTTTATTTTCAGGGGCCCCGCTTCCTACTGTTCTGACTGTTGAGCCTTAACAATCCTTATAAAAGAAAAATAAATAACTACGTACCTTGTAATGTACCGGAAAAGATCCTTAATTTCTTGGCTGACGTGAAGGTGTTCATAATCACTTGGATCATAGGCCCTGGAAGAATAACAATACTATTCATTTCGAGAAAGAAAGCTAGACTGGTTGCAATTAACCAGACAATCAATCCTTCCTGTAATAAGGGTAAATTGTTAGGTGTCTGCATAATTACACAGGTGTCAATTAACCAGAGGTGGAGGTTGTGTAGAGTTTTGCATCTTTGTGAACAAATGGGAACATGTTTGCATGGGTGTCTGCTAACAGGATGGATCCAGCTTGTATGTTAGAAATAATAAAGATCATAAAAGGGTGGTTGATTGATTCATAAAAAAATGCTGTACCCCTCTAGAGCAGTTCCATGGGCATCTTCGTCACCATCATCATCCTCTGAGCTGTCACTCTGATCATCTCCTTCACCATCATCATCATCATGACTTGTTTGTGGTCTACCGGGTGCTTCTTTGC